ATTCATCCGTAAGGAACTGAAAATGAAGCACATGTTCATTCACTGATCTCAATCTAGAGTCCATAATAAATACAATGAAAACATAAAATACATTAAAAACAAAAAGGTAAATCATATTAGTCCCCTTCTACAATATTGTGTGGCTGTTTAACAGGCGGATGGAGGTGGGAAGGAAGCTAGAGGTGGCCCTCTTTGTCCTCAGTGGGAGCAACCTGTACCTGCGCCCTGAAGGCAGCAGAGTATAGTGAGGGGTCAGGGGAGATTTGGTTGCCTTTCCTCAGGACTCTGGTGTTGTAGATGGTGGTGAGTGACTGCTGTTCCCGACCAATGATTTGGTTAGGATCTTTTTTAAGATCCATCTTATTGGTGTTGATATTTTTTGCTTCTTCTACATTGTAAAAATGTTTTGTTTTTAATTTATGTTCGACCCCACTGGAGGCTCGATACACGGTCCTGCCTTCCAAAAAAGGCAATAAACCCCCCATGGTAGAAGAATTGTTCAGCGATATACCCTCAACATAAAATTTCCATCGATCATTCAGATGATAAATAATAAGAAGCTGTTATGTTTTATTTTATTTTTTTTTCACACAATTATTTAACCGATGACACTCTGCTGTATATCTGTTTCCTGCAGTCTCTCACAGCCTGCCTTTGGATGAGCAAGAATTTTATTGACACTTTCACTACAGAAAGAGATGAAGAGAGATGTTGGGAAGGGGTAGGGGGGTAAAGAGAGGTAAAGAGAAGGAAAAAAGAGAGTTAGGGAGGGGAAGAAAGGGGGAAGGAGGAGTAAAAGAGATGTAGAGAGAGCAGGACAGTGGTTGAAAGAGGGTTAGAGGGGGTAGTGAGAGCAGTAGAGAGGGAAAGAGGATGGTGTTGAAAGTGAAAGATAAGGGCGGATATGTTTGAGTGAATAATCATTGGGTTTGAGCGCCCTCTAGTGCATGCGACAAGTAGAGAGGGGTAGAGAGATTGAAGAGGGGAGAGAGAGAGAGGTAAAGGGGGGTACAGAGGGGCAGATACAGGGGTAGAGGGAGAGGGTAAAGAGAGAGGTGTTGAGAGGAAAAGATGTGGATAACAGACAACAGTGCTCAGTGATTGTTGTTCTTCCTTTTACCTGTGATCATGTCAGATCATGTGAAAGACAAGGGTGGACATGTTTGAGTGAACAATCATTAGGTTAAAGCGCCCTCTAGTGCATGAGGACTGCGTTTCACAGGTAGTTTATATCGTTAAGAAGACAAGTAAAAAGAAGGATAGAGAGGGATAGAGACAGGGGCAGATCTAAGCATAGAGAGACAAGTAGAGAGGGGGGTACAGATGGAAGAGGGAGGGAAAGAGAGGGGGCTCAGAGAGATGTGTGAGAGGGATAGAGGAAGGTGGTGATGTCTAAGTGAAAAATCAGTAAGTTAAAGCGCCCTCTAGTTCATAAGGACTGCATTTCACAGCCAACTCAATGCCTAGGACAGTTAAATATGTCGACCTCCAGAGCTCCAAATAGGGCTGATGCTATCCAGTGCATTCATGAATCAAACAATCACTAAATTCATCCAAATTAACATCAAATTTTATCTCTACACCACAGTTCATGTGGGTTAATATGTGAGAGCATATTTTTCTAAGTTCTTTGTTTTGTTTTTCTTCAGAAGTGGAGTCCCCAAAATGAGAATTCCAGTTTATATATAAGATTGATTTAGATTTAGAGATGGAGAGTTGATTTAAAGGATATCCTGGCATATAATTAATTTAGGGTCAAACACACCGTAACACCGAGTTAGACACCCCCTCGAGAGACGAATGTTGAAGACTGCTTGCTTCTCTAGTTATACCAACTTTAGTAACGACCGCAGGATAGCAATACACAGCAGTCTCAGGAGCCATGCGCTCAACCAAAACGCCACTCTTTAGCCACAAATAATGCTCAGAACAGCACCTAACTTCATCAACAGAAGATATAGGGTCCTAGCCATAGTACTAGACACCAAACATCTTTTTAGCTTTGCCTGATTTCTTTAGCATAGAGACTAAACACAACTAACTTACTCTCTTCCAGCAGCCGCTTGTTCAGGAGAGTCCATCACGACTGCAGCGGGGTGACGCAGCTCAAGGAAGAACATCCTTGCTAAGGATGTTCCCAGCTAAATCAAAAGTTGCCTTTAAGGTAGGCTCAGCGCATGTTGAGAGTGTGATTCAAAGGTTGAACCAGCAGGGGTCAGTCTCGCAAAGGTTTCGATCAGCAGGGGCTGCCAATCATCTTTCACACACCATGATCTTGGAAACATAACAGAAGTTCATAGAAATCAAAATTCTTATCATAATATCAAGTTGTGGCAACTTGATATTAAAACAAGACAAGGTAATGTTTTCACCCCCTTTAACAAAATTGGTTCTTTAAAATATTATTTATTGCTGATAAAAAGTAAGAATTCTTTTCTGCGATGTACAAGGTTTGTGTGACGTTTCACTTACAGGACCCAGAAGTGAGACTCTCATAGGTTTAGGGTCTCTATTACAAAAAAAACAACAGAATTGTTTCACAAAAGTCGCTGAAGTGCCAGTTAAAGTCTAGCTCCTTTGTCTCCTGTTTATATCTTTATTTTCATGGCTTTTCCAACTTTATTTAATAGGACAACTGAAGAGACACTGGAGAAAAGTGTGGGAGTAGTGTGGTAGGTGATATACAGAAGTTGAACCAGTTTAACTGGCTTTTTGTTTGCGAAAAAATAAATTCAAACTGGACCTGACAAATGGCCAACGATACACTTATCCTGTTGGGTTGTATACAGGCTGTAAGAAAGTTGAATTTCCATTCAGGACTTATGCATTTGATTATTTCATTCAAACATCTTCCTGCCTCTCCCATTGTCTTGGTAAAATACCTGTGTCCCTTTTCAGTGCATGACACAAAATGACACAACTACACTTAAATGTGATCACTGCTTGGCATAGTGCCTACTGCCCCCTGCTGTCACAAAGAAACAAATACAAAGAACAATAACCTGGTAAAATATGAATTTCCTTCTGGGATTAATAAAGCATCCATCCATCTATCCATCCATCCATCCATATCAGCCTTGACTCTATCTATCTATCTATCTATGAGCTCTAAGGTACATTATAAATCTGAAGTCTCTTACTCAACTCTGTTCTCTGTTTACTAGACTCAGTAACTGGTATGTTAAGGAGATTCTTAACTTGAGTTTTAGATTTGCTGCAGAAAATTTTGATCTAAGGGAGCTGGTCTCCTTGAATGTTTTTAAAAGCAGTTTGAAGGCTCTGGAGAAAAATGCATCAGGTTGCAGATGCTGTTTTATGACCCAGTTCATGTTACCAGGTTTTAAATGGTGTGTTTGTATGTCTGTAACTTTGTTGAAACATGCTGCTGCTCTCTTGGCAAGGTAACTCTTGTAAAAGACATATTGAATCTCAGTGGGGCTTTCCTGAATAAATAAATGGAATATATAGGTGCACTTAACCAGCCAAGACAAACAAGTATCCCAGTATACTTTCTTTAACATCACAAACTGTCACGTAGCAGAGTTGATTAACGAAAAAAGGATCCAAATGCAGAACAAAAGATGATTTATTAAAAAGAAGGAAATAAAAAGCAACAAAAAACACACAAAGGAAAATCCAAACAAAAGACACTGAGAAAAATAAAACACCAGGAGACAAAGGATTCACAGATAAAAGATCACGGGGAACAGGCTGACATGCACACACATCGACATAATGAACAATGAACCAACAAGGAAACAGGGGAAGACAGGGACTATATATACGCACAAGGAAACGAGCAACGAGAGGGAGGTGAGACACTAGCCACGTTTACATGCAGACTTTTTTCTCATTCGGATTATAATAATTCCGATTGAAGCTCCCAGGCGAACTGTTTACATGGAAGCGATCTATTCTGATCTGGTGTTTACATGTGCCACGGCATTCAATCGGAACAGCTGTTTACAGACACGTGATACCTTCAAACATCACGTGATTGATTGATCACGTGATCTCCGACGCAGACCAGTGCATCGTGCTCATCGTACCCAGCCTGACAACTTTCCGATTCACCGTTTACATGACAGGATTTTGCTTTTAATCGGAATGGGAAAAGGAAAATTCTACCCCTGTGAATCGGAATGAAATTCCATTCGGAATGGGCCTGTTTATTCCGAATGAGGTGTTTATATGGAGCATTTTCATTCCGATTGGGCTTCTAATCCGATTATATTCGGAATATTTGGCTCCATGTAAACGTAGCTACTGAGACACAGGTGCAGACAATAACTGAGGAGGGAAAACTGAGGAAGTAAAAAAGACCATACACACAAGGGTGGACTACTACAAAATAAAACAGAAAACACAAAAAACTCATCAACAAAATGAAACACTGAAAACTTGCTTTGATGACACCACTGTACTGAACCTTTAAATGTTGGAGCAAGGGCACACCTTAAAAATAAATAAATGGATTAAAATAAATTGATGTAACATATAACCTATTTATGAATAATTCTAACAATAAGTCGTGCAACATTCAGCCGTTGCTGAGATGCATTTTCAGTATTACTTTATGTTGCCCAGAAAAAAAGGAGGGGAAAATATACATCATTTTCTTGGTTGCATTTGGTTCGGTTTTCAGCATGGTGCTTGGTGATTTCTGCTGTAGTCTGATGCATTATACAGGAGCGCAGAAATAGAAGTAACTTGGAGGTAACTTACCTTTGAGTATCTGATGTCAAGCCACCGACTGCCAACGGAGTTTTGAGAAATGGATTCCTATAAGAGCATAAAATCATTAAAATCAAAACAACATGAAATTTAACCGTCTAAAAATATCCGTATGTACTGAACTGACCTGTTTTTGAGCCCATTGAAGGCTTCATAATGTTGGATGTCATCTAATGTAGTTAATGTTGCAGAAGGCAAACATCAAGTGGGTACATTTATTCGGGTCAATATCTGTAACCACAAACCTGGAAGGCCCCTCTCTTGTTTCAGCCGTGCTGTCGTAGTAACACACCAGCCTGGAAGAAGCTATGTCAAAGACGGAAATCATGTTTTACTGACATCTTTATTTTATATCATACATTTTGACCCAGGTTTATTATCATGAATAGTGTGGGGAACCTACCCAAACTGCCGAGGGTCAAACAGAGACCTACAAAAGGAAAGATAAGGCAGTTAGACAAGTCAAGAATGTGTTTTGTTGGACTAACTCTTTGGAGCTAAAACTTCTTTGTTGCTGGGCCTACCTGCAGTTACAATCAGCTTCCACATGGTGTAACTTTTGGGATAAACAGAATAAAAAGATGTGATTTATATGCATTGAAAAAAATGTAAAAATCATTCTTATTTGGACCAAAACTGTGCCATTCCAGGTGCTGTTACCTAACTGTAACCATCAAACTACACCTTTGATTATTTAACTGCATAACTTGAATTAATACCATCACATGAACCCACTTTTAAAGAGTTTGCAACCAACAGAACAAAAGTTTAAAAGTCTTCAATGTTAAAAAATGGCCACTGAATGTCTCCAGAGTATTTTCAACAAAAAGGTGGCGTTAATTAAAACAATGGAACCACACAGAGCATAATTGTTGAACAATGCATTCACACAAGTGCTAAATTACAAAGAGAGAAGCAATCTGCATAAGTATGTAAGAAGCAGCTAATTACATCGTGTTGAAAAGTAAACTATGAACAACACACTGGTCCAAGTGGCTTACTTTAATGAGGAAAGCAGTTACTGTTGGCTTCCTTACAGATAAAAACATGATTAAATGAGTCATGTCTCAAACATTGTTTGTGCATAATCAAATTAAAAGCACTCAATCTTTGCCATTGATAAATATTTATTGAGATGAAACGCGCCCGCAGTTCTTCTTGTTCTTCTAGTTCATTTTCTTAAATTTTGTATAACACTTTTTGCAATTGCTACTCACTCAAGATGTTCAAACTGCATACATGCAATGTTCTTGTTTGATAAGACTAATTGCTCATTCTCACCACCTGGCCTTGTATGTAATGGCGTCTGCAACTTGGGGACAGAGAAAGATTCAACAACTTTTGTGCAGAAAGGCTTTATTTTGGAAAAAGGAGAGAAAAAAAAAGAATGTTCTTGAGAATTTGAGTTGAAACCTGATCAGAACAAGTTTAGTATGAATGTTACAGTTGCAAAGATGCCTATATGTGTTTGCAATAAAATGTTAAATGAAGACTCTTTGGGATGAACTAATCTTGTGTTGTTCAAAAACTACACTCGTTTTGTCAACCCTCCACACTTCCTGAAAAAGAACTGGTCAAAGACTGTTCAGACCAAAGTCCCCCCGCTGAAAATAGATAGATCAATAATGCAGCTTTAAAAACCACCACCCCCTCAGAAACACTCACTATGGCTGTAAATTGTTGAATATCTGCTGAAATTCCTCTAACTGATTTGTGCAGTTTGCTGTGTAGTTTGATATACTGTCATGGCTTCATCTCAGCAGTCTTAAAAGTTCAAGTAATAGAATGATAAGAATAGATACAAATAATTAGAATAAAAAATGATGACGGCATCACATCGGCTGAAATAAAACACTGTATGATGTGAGGTAGTGGGTTAAACCAAACCAAAAAAATGTAAGAAAATAGATAAAATCACTGTTAGAGATGAGACCCACCATGGTCGTGTCATCCGCACACTTCTTGATGTGGTTGGTGCTGAAGGTTGGTGTGCAGTTGTGGGTCTGATGGGTGTAGAGCTGGGGACTGAGCACACATCCCTGGGAGTCCCCTGACCTCGATGTGATGGTGCTCCCCAAATTTGCTGTGTACTCTGCCACAATGAAAACCAGACAGTGAGGATTAAAATACTTAAATGACTTTCACGCATTTCTGATCTGTTCTATTTCACCTGTTTCAAAGCGGTGGAAGATCATTACTTAAAAGATTCACATTATAAGTCTCCTATCTGCTTTTTTCACACTGTCTGATATGAATCCGAGGTTGTGAAGAGGTCACATGATCTGACAAGTATGAGGAAGAAAAACAATCACCCAGCGCTGTTACCTATGGCGTTGACTCTTACATAACTCTCAGTCTGTGTCCTCTGTCCAACGCACGCATAGTTTGGTCAGATTTAACACAAGCCAACAACTTGAAACTGTTGTCACATTATTATTCGGATATTGTTTAACCCTGGTAAAACTGACAAGACTAGCAGCTCATATTTTACATTGTAAGTTTTTAAGGTAGCTCTTTTACTTTAAGGTGGTGCAAGTAAATAAGACAGCGTACAGCTTAAACTACAAAGAGGATTTAGATAGGGATAGCTTCAATTAAAGGATTCTGGATATAAAATGAAAAAGCAGACTGAAGTTTGAGATAAAAATTGTTCTTTGAAATGTGGAAACCAGCAAAAGGTCAAGGTAAGACATTACAGATGTGTCCTTTATTACTTAGCTGTGTAGACTTGTCCTCAGCTCATCTCATCTGCACACACTCCCCATCGCATTCTTTCATTATTTGTCCTCTTGTTTGCACCCACATGTTTTGTGAGTATGTGTAAGTTTACTTAGATATGACAAATCCTACCGCCTTAAAAAAACAAATAAAGCCTTTCAACTCCACAGGATGTGAGTGCTTTGAGGATTCACTTCCTAAAAATTCTTGTTTTTATCGTTGCCTGACATTCTAGTGCTGTTTTTTTCTTTCTTTTATACTTTAACCCTTTTTTACAGTCCAACTCCTTTATTGGCACGTCCCCTCAGAGAATTGAATGTTAAGCATGTGTTTGTCAAGTGTGTATGGACAGTAGGATAAAAGGTGCAGCAAAGCAGCGGTGACACGTAGAAAAACATCCTGTCATCAGGACTGCTCATTTGAAGCACTCAAGCTGGGTGTGATTAAGACACACCTTTGGTGGGGTATAATTTACAGCATTTGACTGCATTCCTTCTTTAAAATGAAACTTGACCATTGTATGCTGCTACAGCCCTGCCTAGGAATTAAAATGCTCGACACATGCACATGTTAAACATACTTGTTTGTTGGTATTTATGAAGACCAAGTAACAACCATTATTTTCACACCATTAATGTGCAGGTGATTTTCTTTTTCTATGCAGGTTTTTATGTATAAAAGCTGTTATAGAAATAAAGTTGGGTTAAGTTGAGTTAAAAGTTACAGTATTAACTGCAAAAATGAATTTGCTCTGTAATTCACAGACTGGGGCTTCTTAATATGATTCACAGCAGGTTCAATTATTATTATTATTATTATCATTATTATTTAGGGTTTCATCTATAAATTCAGACTTTTCACGGAGTGCAGCTACAGCGTCATTATAAACTCCTCCCAGCTAGCCACCTGCTGAGTCACGCTCATTAAAAAAAATAAAAACTGGTATTTCATTGAGTCTGCAAAGAGGGCTAATTATTCAGACTAATGAGCATCGCTAAACCTGTTATAAGTGCCAAGAGCGTCATATTTTCCTTACACCCACATGAAACTATTGTTTGTTACTATTTCTGGATCATAAAAGACGGACAGAAGAACTTTTAAGAGAAGTAGACGTCAAACCAGCAGAAGATCCAACACAGGCTGGTATCCTTGTAGTTGTGACAGTAAAGGGCCCTTGTGTTTTTATGAACTCAAAGCCAGGCAGAGAACTGCAGTAAGGGGGACGTTTAAAAAAAGTGATACAATAACTTTATTGATTCCCAAAGGGAGATTTGTTTGTCTGGTATTTTTCATCTATTATCTATAGAAGAATTAAGAAATCTGTTGGCTGTGGGTATAAAAGATCTTCTGAAACTCTCAGTCCTGACAGGGGCCATCCATCAAGGTGTTACGAAGTGGATGAATGTCCTCTACCTTCCTCAGTGTGCATCTCTCCGCCATATCGTAGTATCATTGGGAACATTACATGGAACTTCAGCCGTTGCCTAGGGTGGGATGTGCGCAAGTACTTTTAGGATATGACTCAACTCTCTTGGAACATAATATGGGTGAAAAACAACTGCGAGTTCCATGTCTGGACAACATAAGTTCTAACTGAACTTTCTGAGTTCTAAACTCTGCAAAACTTTTGGAGGGAAGTCTGCAGGGACCTGATTTACTTCCATACTTTGCTGCTACTTGGTTGACCTCAGGTTCGAGACTAATGACATCAGTAGTACTCGACTTGAGGGGGCACTGAAATAAAAATGGTCAAAATCCTCCCCCTTCCAAAACGGTCATCTCAACTTTCCATCCCTTGAGCTATATTTGTCAATAAATTTGGATATATAAGGCTACTGCTGTTTTAGCATTAGAGATATTACCGCGTCCTCACTGACTGCGGGCAGCGCATGGAGCCACACATACAAACATACACGCCAAACATTTCCCTCCCCGACAGCGTCGCTGATTTCCCACTAACCAGCGCTACTTTTCCTTCTCCCTTCTCTGTTGGATAGAGTAACCAAGGGTGCACACTTTGAGCTCTATCACATAGATATTCAATTCATCCCTCCACTTACTTGCAGGGCGTCCATTCACGCCATCATGCCGGCTCATGTTTCCTAATGAGGAAACAGAGCGCATGATTTCCGTGTGTAAAATAGGTGGGTATGGAAGGTCAAAGTGGTCACATGATGCAAGAAAAAATAATTGCCTTGTTGCTTGCCATGAATCCTTAAAAAATAATGCTCCATTGATTTGTGTAAAAACTTTGTTAAAATGGCAAAAACTTACAGAAAAAGGTCTGAAAGTTAAAAATAGTTCAAATGTGAACTATTTTCTTAAAAAGAAAAGGCTTCCTGAGCCTTCTTGGTATTTATTTTTTTTTTTTTTTTCACTTTTGTAAATATTTTTGCACTGCACCTAGAAGGCATCACTGTGTCTTCAGCTACAGCTGTGTTTTTCCACGATATTGTGATTGTCTGAGCGAGAACCCCGTGACAGGGGGCTTTGAGCATATTAAGCTTAAGAAGAGGTTCAAGACTCACCTTTTTAACCAGGCTTTTCACGAATTGTCTTTTCATATTTCTCTTATTGCAAATGTTCATTTTAATCAAAGTTCTTATTGTTTATTTTATGTCATTTTATCAATTTTCTCTGTGCTTAGTCTTTTTCTTAATTCCCATCTCAGAGGTTTTTACTTCTTTTACCCCTGTTACATGGTAAAGAGCTCTTACTTATCTGTTCATTTAATATTATTTTCTTGTTTTAGTCCATCAGGTTTTAGTCTTTTTAACATTTTATTTTTTATCTTTTATTAATTTTTTTTTATCTCCAGTGTTTCTCAAAGGTAAGTCTTTCCTCACGTAATGTCTCGGTGTCAGGCAATATATCTTAAATTCTCACTTTGTGTGCCCTTGTGTAAGTGTGGGTGAGTGAGGGTGGGTGTTTGTCTTTGTGTGTGGGTCAATGGGTGGGCGTGTGGGTGGGAGGTTCGGATTTTATTGTTGTTAATTGTTGTTTTTAGCCGCTGTGTGGCACTTTGAACTGCATTTTTTGTCTGAAAAGTGCCATAAAAAAAAATAAAGTTGAATTCTTGAAGTTGAAATACTCTGGGCGAGGTGGCATGTGTGAAAATTACACTTTTCCTTTTTCTTTTAACAGCCGGTGACGCTGTTGCAATTTCAGTATCATGGCGAAGCGACATCTGAGGGATTATGGAATAGAATAATCATTTTTGTGATTTAGTAAAAATAAAATGGGTACACAGTTGATTTTCCACCATGTGCACTGTCATCAGAACAAAACATCCGTCTCAAACAATAAAATCCACCACCCCCCTTGATTTTTGGAACTCAACTACTGGATGACATGAAGCTACTGTTTAAGTAAATCTGTTTGCACAAAGCTCCAAAAGCAAACAAGCCCACAAGAGAAAGATTTCTATATTGTGAGTTGTGATGCCTGAAGCCACTTTAAGGGCTCAGTGACAGCATACTGAAAAAAAAACAGCCTTTCTTAATGTTTTCATTGGTGGATATTCAGAAGAGGTGACATACTTCACTGTTTAAGGAATGATGTTGGACTTCTTGTCAGAAAGAAGGAAAAAAAAAAACACAGGATACACAGCACAACATCAGAAAAGTGATAGGAGGCTTTCAATAGCCTGCTGGGGGCGCCAAAGTCAACACAAAGTAAAAGTTTGTTACAGAAGACTTAATATTCACCATTTACCAAGTAGGTTTAGGGATAGAAATAAAAACTCAGACTTCTGGTAATGTTCAATGGCCCCTTTTATTTTTATTTTTTTATGATGTAGAAATAAAGCATATTTTTACACTTCACTCTCAAAGATGATTTTTCCTTATTTATGAATTACGTCTGTTTTTGAAGAAACAGAAATTGGGTAAAAACAGGGTTTCAAGAAGAAATTGAAAATAAAATATTACCCCTCGTCAGTTTAAGATGATATGCAGGCTTTTAAGGCCAGTTACAGCATTTGCAGTCCTTATCAAAGACCAAAGTGCTTGGGCAATCTTGGACATAGGTGATGCCATTGGCACAGTTGTAAAAGGAACCTGGTGCATCAGGTTTGGCATAAACCCCACCAGCCTTGTCTGCGCAGAAGTTATCCACCGATGTGGGAGGGGTGGCGGGTTTGGGACGAGTTGGGGGGTCCGGTGTGAGACGTGGGGTGGGCTTCCCCTCTTTGTCGGGAGATGGAGTCACCAGATCCAGGTTGGTTGCTGTGGTGGGGAGGGGAGGAAGATCTGCCAAAATAAAATTGAAAAAAAAAAAAAGCTATTAGAAAAATGAAGTTGAATGGGTAGCTGCAATTGTGATGTACGATTCCTGTTTACCGGATGCTAGATGTGTGCGGAGTTGGGAGATAAGAGGATAGTTTCCTTGTCCACAGAACTGCCCTTTAAAGTCGTCCAAATCTAGACTCCAGACAAACGCTCCTCCAAACCTGTTGTCTTGTAGGTAACGGACCTGGATAAACATCAATACAACTCTTATTAACAAACATTAAACTTTACCTGTCACGATACAGCTGATCTCTCACATAAGAAAGACCAACATGTTTATAAAAACGTATGACCACCTTCGTCTCGAAGCTATCTCTGTTGTCAAATCCAACCCACTCGTTTCCTTTGACAGCATACGGAACTTTCTGATCCTCAATCAGGTTGACACTGGCCCCTTGGAGAAAAGTGCAAATCTGAAAGCAAGATTAAATAAAAATAGCTGTAACCAATTATTAAAACAACAACAAAAGATGTATTTATTTCACAAACACCAAGAGTCATATACAAACTGTCAGTTGTCTCACCTCATAATACGACCAGAAGCCAGCTTCTCTTGTGAAAGTACCAGCAGCAGCTGCTCCACTGGCTGGTGCTCCCACTTGACTGGATGAAGTGGAAAGCCGAAATGTTCTCCCGTATGTAGCAAAGCCCATGTTTAACTTTTCAGCTGGAGTGCCATTGTCCTTCCAATACCTCATGGCATAGTCCTGAAACATTAAAAAAAATATATATATATAAAAAAAAAGTTAGGGTTATAGATGCTGCCTCTCTCTCTTCAGTTGAGTGTTGTTTGAAAGTAGTAGGGCAGATTAATGATAATAAATTTTATTTATAACGCATTTTTACATGTGCTCAAAGAGAACTTACAAAGAAAAAAGAAGAAAATAAAATAAAATAAAAAAACAATTTAAAATACAGAAAATTTTGAGAAATAAAACCAATGATGTAAAAGGTTAAAAAAAAGACAATATAAGAACAGTTCACAGGTAAGATTGCTCATGTATGGGACGTATAAAAGCAGAAGTTAAACCTGTTTCTGTGTCCTCTTGAGTGTGTTGTGTAATGTTAATGTTTATCTTTTTATGTTTTATACGACAGACGAGAACAGCTGTGGATTTTTCATTTTTTTATGCACTGTTTTCTCGTTATGTCGATATAACAAAGTTCGCTTTTTCTCGATAACAAATTATTTTTGTAAGACATAACAAAGACAGTTTTCTTGTGATGACGAATCATTTTGCTGACCTAAAACAGTAACTTTAAAAAAAAACACCCTCCAGTGTGCGATACTTTTTTTTGTGGGATGGTAGGCAAAAGTCCCGCCTCCTTCACCTCTGATTGGCTAGAAAAGCTGGAAACGTCATCACATGCTCAAGCCAAGCGCGGGATGTCGGCTCTGTACATCGAACAGAACGTTATCACACTTCTGAATCTCCTAACCCGAACCATAACCCGACAGACGTTGATGTTTCACAGCCATAAGGAATAACCAATTGTAGCTGAGCAATTCTAGCCAATCAGAGGCGATGTAGGGCGGGACCTTCCTTTACCATCCTACAAAAAAAAAAAAAAAAAAAAAAATCGCCTCCAGTGTGGGATATTTCTGAAACGCCACAGCCACCATTGCCAACAGCAAGCAGAGGTTTTTAATGAAAATGCTGACAGCACACTCTATATCACGCTACTCTATCAACGTGGGAACATTTAATGGCCATGTGCAAATTAGACAACAACGATACCTGTCACATTATCAATTCATTTTCACAAGAAAATGAACTTGTTATATTAAAATAATGAGATAATAAGTTGTTTTCATGAGATAATGCATAAAAAAGAAAAGAAAAATCAATGGCCGTTCTCATTTTTCGCAGTTACATTCAATTTCAATGCATTTTGTTAAATATTTCAGGTTTTCGAAATAACAGGAGTTTTGTGAATCATCATTTGGGAAGTGTGTTTTGTATTTCTTTAACAGTTTTTTGATCATAGAGGAAATACGATCAGTGTTTGATGAAATGTTGGTGCAGTTAACCTTCAGGGCCTTCGTATTTATTGCTCATTTGTGCGGAAAAAAAAAAAAAAAAAGCTGTAGTAGATGATAAAATACATCTTTAAATTTATAATGGAGCTTAAATACTGATCTTACAGTATTTAAATAAGCGTTGTCCCCTAATTCTTGTGCTCCCTTAAATAAGGGGCTGTTATGTCCCGTCACTCTCTCCCAGGTGCCGTGAAAGTCATACGTCATCACATTCACAAAGTCCAGGTACCTGAAAAATAACATCTAAAATTAACATAATGACCGATGCTTATAGAGGAGAACAATCATGGGCGTAATAATGAGCCATACTTAGCGATCTCAGCGATTTCATAACCAGCATCTATTGTTGCTTTCCCAACAGCCACGGCCGCAGAGATCATTAATCTCGGCTTCCCTGATGTTCTCGCCTCAGCCTCGTAACCTTCCAGGAGCTCCTGTGCAGCACAGAATCATGGGAATTTAATGGCATGCTTCATGTCTAACAAACTATTACAGCAATAAGGTTTGGATCTAACCTTGCAGAGAAGTGTGAATCTCTGCTTGTCCTCTGGAGGACTTCCTCTTGAACCGGGGTACTCCCAGTCCAGATCGAGTCCATCGAAGTTATATTTCCTCAGCAGTTTGATTGTTGACTGGATGAATGTGTTTCTGTTGGCCTGTGTTGACACCATCGTTGTGAATCTGGAAAATCAATTTAAAGAAAATAAAACATTACAGTGAGAATATTCTTGCATTACAGGAAATCTTGAGGATTACTTTTCATTCATGTCTCACTTTTGAGTTCCGAAGTTCCAGCCTCCGACTGCCAACAGTGTCTTCAGGTTTGGGTTGCTGTGAGGGAAACACCGATAGATTTTTACTCATGTTTAATTTCATGATGTTAGTGTAAGAAAACGCAGGACTGACCTCTGTTTGAGTCCGTTAAAGGATTGATAGAGCACATCATCATTCCATTCATAGGTGACCAGCTCATTTGCGTCATTAATGACGGCAAAGGCATAGATCAGGTGAGTACAGAGGTTAGGGTCAACGTCTTGAGGCATGAACTTCCCATCTCCAGGTCGGTACTGGGCCCAGTTTGTGAAATAACACACCAGTCTAGTCGAGGAGGCTGATCAACAAACAAAAAAAGCAAACACATCTGAGTAAGACTTGACGTTAAACAAGTGCAGACTGCTCAGTATTTGTGAACTAAACCTGTGAACTCACCTAAAGTGCCAAGGGTAACACAGAGACCTTCAAAATAAAAGGTTGAATCAGTAAATAATTGATAAAAATAGATTTCAATGTAAAAGTTTCTTGCTTTAAATATATGTGCCTTACCTGCAAGTAGGATTAACTTGTTCATGGTGGTGGTGCTGGCACTTAACCGCTGAAAAGCTGAAGAAAAAATGACAAAAACAGGATAATCATTAACAGCAACATGTGATGTGACCCAGAGTTTAGGTACACAAGTAAGTCAAATATCTGCAGCTAGTTAAAAGAATCTAACCTTAATACAGAGGTTCGGGTGTTCAGAGACTTCACCTCTTGAATTTCTAATTAATTTTGTAATTATTTGTATATCATGTCTTATGTAAATTCAGGTATATTTTTTTTTATAAATGCTATTTTTTTATGTCCTGGAAAATGTACAGAAATTCTCAGTCAATGAAAGGATCCCCCTCCTTATGGGTCACAAGTCCTTTAAAAGGTAGCTCTCACTCACTAAAAATTATTATTATTTCACTCATCATTATTAGATACTGTCACAATATCTGAATCAGATCACTTTCAATTTTATTTAATGTCGTGACTCACACACTGAATAAAAAATAACACCCAGATCTGTTAGAGCTCCCCCTAGTGACTGGCTGCGGTATAGATCACTCTCATTTAATCTATTTATTTGTTTCTCACTGTGCCTCATCTTTCTGTTTTTATTCTGATGTAGGTTTCTTCCTTGTTTTTTTACCTCTCGTGGGAATTGTTAGTCTTTAAAATGTCACACCACAGAGTACAGACTAAACAAAAGATCTAATTAACAAAAGATCCAAAACGCTTTTATTGCCGTCTAACTAATAATTATTTAGCAAAAACAAATCCCATGCCAACAAACTTGAGAAGCAGGTCAGAAAACTGGAGCACTGTGAATGTACGTGGACAAAGACAAACCACGAAGAATGAGCTAACAAAAGGAGAGAAAAACTGGGTCCACCGCAAGAACTGTTAGAGCTCCACCTTGTGACTGGCTGCAGTAAAGATCACTCTCATTTAATCTATTTATTTGTTTCTCACTGTGCCTCACTTATTTATTCCGATGTGGGTTTCCTCCTTGTTTTTTTTACCTCTCGTGTGAATTGTTATTGTCCTCAAAATGTCACACCACAGAGTACAGACTAAACAAAAGGTCTAATTAACAAAAGATCCAAAATACTTTTATTGCCATCTAACCAATAATTATTGAGCAAAAACTTCCCCTAAAAAAAACTTGAGAAGCAGGTTAGAAAACTGGAGCACTGTGAATCTATGTGGACAAAGACAAACCACGAAGAATGAACCAACATAGGAGAGGGAAACTGGTAGCCTGGCCTGGCCATCCTGTTGCGTGAATCACTTCAAGTGATTCACGCAACAGGATGGGTGTTTATCCTGGCCATCCTGTTGCGCGAACGCTAAAACTTTTTGTCCAAATCATCTGTTTGCACTTCTTCTTCTGGTCCCCTCCTTTACAGCCTGTGATCACATTTATCTATAAATTAGTTCATCATCTATTTAGGGATTACTTTCCGTCTTTCTTTGGAATCAATTAAATGTCACACAAAAGAGTTTTAACAGAAGAAAAAGGACCTAAAATACAGACTTAAAAATAATAAAATTTACAAAAGTTTAAAGAATTCAAACGACAAAAACCTACTTATGGTGGCCGAACAACAATTTCTAATCCAAAAAAATTCCAAAACTCAAAAAACTTGAGAAGCAGGCTAGAAAACTGGAGCACTGTGAAGATATGTGGACAAAGACATTGACAAACCACGAAGAATGAACCGACAAAGGAGAAGGAAACAGGGTCAACCGCAAGAACTAATAGAGCTCCACTTAGTCACTGGCTGCAGCACAGATCCACCTCCACCTTTATTGTAACAGGTAAAACATGGTTCAAATTAAAAAACTAAAATACAGGATGAATACAGTTCATTTTTAACTTGCTGGTTCAGTTTACAGTCAGTGTTTTGAAAAAGTCGCTGTGCAGGTTTCTGTTTGATGGTCGTTAAAAATATTCAGTCTGCAGAAAGTCAAGGAAACATCCAGAAAATGATCCTGAAGCGTTATCTGTCAGTCATCCTACCTTAAACTTCAACATCTTTAAAGCAGCTTCTCAAAACTCACTTTTGCAGACTTGCTTTTATGTGATTTTAATTTTTGCAAACACTTTTCCATTTCAACTTCATTTAGTTACTGGATTAAATAACTCTTGGATGCTGACATTTGTCCAAATCATTTACAGTTTGTGATTCCATTCATCTATTTATTGTTTGTTTTTCCAGCTTTTTCCTCTCCTGGGAACTGTTACTGTCCTTAAAACAGAGTTAAAACAAAAGAAAAGGACACAAAGTACAGACTTAAGAAAATAAAAGTTTGCAAATAATAAAAAAAAAACTTACTTATTGTGATCCAACCAGCAAATCCTTATCCAAAAGAAACTCAAGACACTTGAGAAGCAGGTGAGAAAAGTGGAGCACTGTGAAGATACGTGGACAGAGACATAGGCAAGTCACGCACAATGAACTAACAAGGTAGGAGGAGAGGACAGGGACTATATATACACAAGGAAATAAGCATCAGATGAGACAGCAAAAACACATGTGAGACTGATGAGTAATCAACAAAGGAGGGAAAACTCAGGAAGTAAATTAGACTTGACACAAAGAGTTGACTACTACAAAATAAAACAGGAAACACTGAAATTAAAATAAGAACATGAATTATGATATTTTTGCTTTTTTAATTATGTTGATTTATGACTTGTTCCCTCTTTGCTGTGATAATATTTATTTAATTACAATAATAATGTTGTCATAATAGTTTGTAGGATTGAGTTAAGTGGATTGGGAGGTAACAGCGGTGTTGTGTTTCAAACTTGGTGACGTGATGTGAATGTTATCCATTTTTCACAATGTCTGAAAAGAGCACAAAAGCTGACAGTTTGTCTTTACAAAGAGTTTATTGGAAGAAAACTCGATGGCAAAACAAATAAAGTCTTGAAATAAATCACTAATGTACAGGGCTTACGTGTCACAAGGACCCCAAGATTTCACACATAAAGACACAAACTAAAATGGTGGAGTGGTGAGACTTGAGTAGTGATAAAATAAAATAAAACAGCTATATAAAAGATTTCAGGGTATTGATTTAAGCCCAGTTACAACATTTGCATGCGTCATCAAACCTAAGGTTTACTGGACATTTCTGGAGGTACGTGGTCCCACCGACACACTGATAGAAAGAATTAGCGTCTTCATCGTTTGAGTAGAGGCCGTCGGCCTTCCCGCCACAGAATCCACCTCCAGGAGCCACTTCAGCCGTGGTGGTGGTTTTGACAGTGGTGGTTGTAGACCCTGGGACTGGGCGGGTTGTTGAGGCCACAGGTGGAGGTGTAGGAGGGGGACGAGGGGAGTCTGAAGAAAGAAAGAAGATTTAAACTCAGAAAATTCATGGAGAGTAAGTTATAAATGTTCTGCAGTTTTTGGGTATTAGTTTACCGGAGTTAAGGAGGGAGTTCAGGTAGCTGATGAGAGGATAGTTTCCTTGTTTACAGAAGCTTCCAGCAAAGTCATCCAGATCCAGAGACCAGACGAAGGCTCCTCCATATTTGTTGTCTTTCAGATATTTTGCCTGTGGAGAATCAGAGAAGCTGTGATTTGAGTTTGGTCCCATTTTTGAGAAGAAAAGTAAAACGAACAAGCTAACCAAGAGTGTGCCTGAGTGTTTGCTACTGTTAAAGGGTTATTCCGGCGTAAAATTGTTAAGATCAAACATACGTAACACCGAGTTAGACACCCTTTCGAGAGATCAGTGTTGCCGACTACTTTTTTTAATCATTTCCTTGAAGTAATAGTCACCATGTTAATCATTTTTCACTGCAGACGTGGTAGTTCTCCTGTTTTAGCGTCTCTGTCTGATTGGATTTCCATTTGTGGCTATAGAGTGGCATTTGGTTGAGGTTTGTTTATGGCTCCTCAGACCACAGTGTTTTGCTATCATGTGGTCATTACTAAAGTTGGTAAAACTAGAGAAGCAAGCGGTCGGCAACAATTATCTTTCGAGGATATGTCTAACTTGGTGTTACCGTCTGTTTGACCCTAAATTAATTTTACGCCAGAATATCCCTTTATTAAAGGAAATTTTGTCACATTGCTGAGGCTGTTTAACAGGATGAAACATGGCTCTACACCACCGCTGTTTAACATTACCTTATATCAGGTTAAAGAGCAACATAGATCATAAACTAATACTGAATAAAGTGAAATAAAACTACATTCGAACATCAAAATACCATCAAAACATAGAAACTCTACTCTCATTGGTTCAAACTAAGACTGAACTGGATTATGACAATGACTCTTTTATTCACACTGAGAGTAAAACTCTGCATTTCATCAATAACATCCACTTCCTACTCCATAACCTGCTGTTTAAACACAGCAGTTGATTCAGTGAATCCTTCCACCGAAACCTCACAGAAAGTCATATTTGCATGTTTCTACTGAGCCGCACGAGACACTTTGAGTGTCACACCCAAAAATTTGCTTCCCCCCCTGACAATAAGTCAACTTTTCCCTCACATGGACTTTAAGTCAACACTGCAATCTCACATTGGGCAGCAAAACAACCTGTTTAAAGTGCTGCGCCGTTTACTGTAGGTATTTCCCAGCCACTTAAAATCGTAATTTGAGATAGGGGATTAAAAGGTGTTAAGATGACAAGTCAAACCGGTCAAACACAGTCTTAGGGGAACAGGCAGAACATTTACCGGCGGATGAGCTTACTAAGTGGTGGTTGAGTACATTAATTGTCTTTCTGTGGTTGATGTTTGAATAAGTCCACCACGTGTTGAATAATCATAAGTGTGTGCACGTTGTTGGCCTCGAGCCAGAGTTTTCCACTTCATGTAAAAATATTCAAAAGTTTAGTGAATATGGGCGGACAGAGGATACTGGTGATGTTCAGAAGTACAGCATTTGAAGTTTAGTTCTGATTCGACTCATTTCTTGCTTTAAGAACACGTGAGCAAGACTGATTTTTGTCTTCATGTGAGTCGACAAAAACAAGGTGATCGATAAGTGAAGCTGCAGGCATGTCACGTGATGTCAGGCAGGAATGCATTAAATTTACTGTCGTGCTTCACTCAACCACCTCCAGAAGTCTGCAGCCCGCTGAGCTCATATCTATCATCTTAGAGCGCCACCTTCTGCTCAGTCAGAGGTACTACCCGTACAGCTTTTCATCTTAATCATCAGCTATACCTTGTGCAGAAGTGAAGAAAGTGACACACTAGATTTGTTCTGATATGAGGATTAATGTAGTAATAATTACCTTGATTTCAAAGCTCTGCATGTTATCAAACCCAACCCACTCATTTCCTTTAACAGCATAGGGAACCATTTGCTCGTCTATCCAGTGGATGTTGCCTCCTTGGGTGAAAGTGCAAATCTGAAAAAGAAAAGCAGAAAATATTATGTCTTTTTGGAAAGATCCCCAATTTGTGCCTTAATCCTTGCCTATCTGATTTAGGTCATTAAAGGGATATTCTGGTGTGAAATTAATTTAGGGTCAAATACACCATTCATAAATGTTCTTCATTGAGCTGCTTCACCCCACAGCAGTCCGTAATGGGCTGGCCTAAGGTCTCGCTACAAACAAGCGGCTGTTGGAAGAGAGTAGGTGAGCTGTGTTTAGTCTCTTTGCTTAAGAAATCAGGCAAAGTTTAAAAGATGTTTGGTGGCTAGTGCTGTGGCTAGGACCCTATATGTACTGTTGATGAAGTTAGGTGCTGTTCTGAGCATTATTTGTGGCTATAGAGTGGCGTTTTGGTTGAGGTTTGTTTATGGATCCTCAGACCACTGTCTATTGCTATCGTGCGGTCGTTACTAAAGTTGCTATAACTAGAAAAGCGAGTGGCCATCAACATTCATCTCTTGACAGCTTGTTTAACCTGGTGTTACGGTGTGTTTGACCCTAAATTAATTTTACGCCGCAATATCCCTTTAAGGTCATTTGTTAAACTTTTGTCTCTCTTACTGCTGCTTTCACTGACCTCATAGTAGGACCAGAATCCAGCCTCCCGAGTGTAAACCCCAGCAGAGGCTGGTCCACTGGCAGGTGCACCAAGGTCAGTAGACGGTGATGATGTGCGAAATGTGCGTCCGTAAGTGGGGAAACCAACCATGAGCTTTTTGGGAGGAGCTCCTTTTTTCTCCCAGTATTTCATGGCAAAGTCCTGCAAAGAAATCATGAAAATAAGCATCAAAAGAAGAGAAATTTAGAGTTTTTTTCACTTGTTTTGCAGGAGTTGAGAAGGAGGAGGAGGATTTTACTCACCACATTGAAAAAGATACTGGCGCCCTTATCGGTAGAGCTGCCGTACAGAGGGCTGTTGTGGCCTGTGGTCGTGTCCCATGCTCCGTGGAAGTCATAGGTCATGATATTTATGAAGTCCAGGAACCTGTTAGACATAAGCACAGCAGTGTAAATCACATCTACATGTTACACCAGCAACAGACCAAGGAGGTCTCAAGATGGGATTTCCTTTCATAACTCAAAATATCTGTCACTGACACTCACTTTGACACTTTGGAAATCTCATATCCGTTGTCAATATTTTCCTTCCCAGCAGCCACTGCAGCTGTAAGCAGCAGTCGAGGTCTTTTGGTCTCAGCTGCTTCTTTTTCAAATGCAGCCAGTAGTTCCTAAAAGGAAAGAGCAAACACGCACTGTGATAGTCATGCAAATATGTCAATACTGCAGAAGACGTCAGATCCTAGACTTCCACACTGACCCTGCAGAGCATTGTGAACCTCCTCTTGTCCTCTGGGGGGCTTCCTCGTGCTCCGGGGTACTCCCAGTCGAGATCCAGTCCGTCAAAGCCGTGCAGTCTCAAGAATCTGATGGAGGACTGGATAAATGTTTTGCGGTTTTCCGGGGATGAAACCAAGGTGGTAAACCTGTCAAAAGAAAGCATTTTTTTTATCTGCAATCATGGAGATTTTTTATTCCTTTAAAGGATCATTTGGTCCATATTTTCACAGGATGAAGTTATTATTGCTAAAGCTTGGTGGACTTACTGGGTGGTTCCAAAGTTCCAGCCGCCAACAGCCAACAGAGTCTTCAGAGCTGGGTTTCTGTACAAGAAATAAGCAAAAATGTGTTTGTTTTTAGCGAATTAGCAAACAAATATCTTTGAAATATTCCAGGATAAGGGAATCAAAGTATTTTCATGCATAAATATTAATTTCAGATAAAACTGCTGGTAGTTTACACTTCTTTTACTCATGATCCTTATCAAAATTTCTAAAACACTTGTACAATCAAACAATGTGACTTAAGCATCGAGAGGACGATATAAGATATGATTTCTTTCTCCACAGGAGGGCGCCAAAACCAACACACACTGGAAGTTACCCACAGTTGCTTCAAGTGAAATTTATAATCTAGGATGACCATATGTCCTCTTTTACCCGGACATGTCCTCTTTTTTGGGGTCTGTCCGGCTTTGTCCTAGGAAGTTTATAAAATCCTTCAAATGTCTGCGGTTTTGTACAGAAGTTTCAAATTTTGTGTCACATGGACAAACTTAGTTAGAAGTGCATTAAAAACATTCGATCTGACCAGAAAAACTCTCAAAAAATCTATGACTCGTGTAGTTGTGTCCTCCTTTTGGGAAGTCAGAATATGGTCACCCTCAATAATCTTTACAAGACATTTGTTTGGAAAGCAGTCTAGTTCTGACACACCTTAAAATCAAATAATGAATAATTAGTAATGATTAAGCAACTCATACATGTCAACATGTGTGACTCTTGAGCTCATGATGTTTTGACCTACTTGGTTTTCACAGAACAAGGGGAAAATGTCCTCAGCAGATGTACTTCAGACATCCGTCTTTATCACCCCTGCTGGTGTAATCAGTCACTGATATGATACAAGTGGGCATGACTCACCTCTGCTTGAGCTCGTTGAAGGATCTATAGAGGACGTCATCATTCCACTCGTAGGTGGTCAGCTCATTCAAGGGGCTGACGACTGAGAAGGCGTAGATGAGGTGTGTGCAAAGGTGGGGGTCCACATTGGACGGCATGTATTTGCCGACACCTGGTCTGTACTGGGACCAGTTGGTGAAGTAGCACACCAGTTTGACAGAAGATGCTGTTGGTAGATGGAAAGATGGGGTTAAAAAAGTCAAAATCATGGTGGTAGATAAGCAGTTTTCTGTGACTATAAGAGAGTTCGATAATGCGTACCCAGTTGGAGGCACATCAAGAAGGTCAAGCCTGTGAAAAATTCAAAAGAAGTGAGAATTTTCATTTTTCATATGCTTATTTTTCTTGATCAAAGCCTTTAATAAAACTGTAACTCACCAGCCAAGGTTGTAAGTCGAGCCATTTTGCGTCAACTGAGATTTTTCTCTTAGAGAGAGCTGCAAAATCATAAAAGTTGGAAAATTTGAAAAAGAAATCAGGAGCTAATGTCAGCAAATTTGGGTCCTTTGACAACTCTGTGATCATTTTGCAAAGAAAAGATACAGAACCACTTTGAATGCAACACTGAGACTCTTTAAACAGCCTCCTACGTCTTTTGTAAGATCAGACCAGTGTATTTAGTGAAATTTTAAGAGTCTGATGCTGCACAAACCTGTATTAAAGTAAAATATAAGCTCCTAAAACCTCCATGTGTGGATGACTTACCAGTTCCCAGGAGTTCAGCAGGCTGAATCTGCCCCTGATCCCTCTGGTGGTCCCTTTTATAGCCGATGATAACAAGTTCAAAGGCTGTATACCTGTGAAGTCTAAAGGATGCTTGGGGAGAGAATAACAGTGTCTGTGAATCTGATCGGGCTGGGCGGCAGTGAGCTGTCAGACTGGTGCTGATATGATGGAGGTTTTTACAGCCAGAGGGGATAAGAGCAGGTGGGGTTATATAAACTTGCCTCTGTGGAGTCACATAGATCAAATCAGCCGGACACTTCACGCTGATAAGAAGATCCTGATCAATGCATATATGGATATTTTGTGATTAATATAACTCAAAGATTACATGATATAGTTTACAGATAAAGTGATTTTACATTAACCTTTGTTATTGCATCTGTGTTATCAGACAGGTTGTTAAAAATGTTCTTTGTGTTGGGCAGAAGAATCGAACTAATAGTTTTTTTTTATCCGTACAAAACTTCAAAAAATACCCTTAATGTAAAATAATAATAATAATACAAAATTTAGTTACAAGATTGATCTTCTTTCTCTAGAATGAGTCTGGGTAAGATAGTAAAATAGCTTTTTAGCCCAATGACATAAGAGACAACAGTATCATATCGTAAACCTAATAAATTTACAGTTTTTTGATAAGATGTCCCCTCCTATTATGCTGTGCTTTATGTTTTATGACATAACTAAGTTACCCTATGAGGCAATGTATAGACCAGAGTTCAGTCTGGATTGTTTACATTAACGTTCAAAGTTCACAGCCATAGTTCCAATGAAATGTCATGGTGTCCAAAAAGGCTAAGGGTCTTGGTGTCTGTTTATGTTAAATCTTTTTTTTTCTGCTTTGACATCAAGTGTTTTTGTTGATGTTGTCTTTAGCTTTATGTAAAAGTTTTGCAGGTCTAATTTTCAGACTTATCAAAAGCAGTTGTGATCATGCCCAACTTCTGCAAAGGCTGCAAAATATCAGCTCAGTTTATAGTTACTAAAGTTGGTATAACTAGTGAAGCAAGTGGTCGGCAACATAATCTCTCGATTGGGTGTCTAACCCAGTGTTACAGTGTGTTTGACCCTAAATTAATTTTACGCTGGAATATCCTTTTTAGTTCTCTATCAGCATCAGAGTGTCACTCCCTTATCATCTGTAGGAGAAGTTAGCTAACATGGGTCGCACCTTCTATTGCTTGTTCTAGTTAAAGGAAACAGGGGTGAGGTTTTCAGGAAACAGGGGTGAAGTCTAGACTGGAAGATAGTTTGAATCTGACACAGATTCAGCCATGCACAGTCAATCAAGCTGGACTGAAGTGGGCTGATTCTAGGTGTAAAAGCACATGAGTCCACCAAGCAAGGGCACGTATTAAAGAGCTTGAATTTCAATAAGCAGCAACCTCTGACCTCTGCTCCGATTAAACAGGACACAACAGTCAGCGTCAAATTAAACATATTACAAATAGATGTTTTGGCTTTATTTACATTTACACATAGCTGCATTACACAGAGAATATCAAGATTAGTAATCTCTATTACATTTCTATAGTAAGTGAAGGGGTACATGTAAGGGGATGAGACATTGAAGGGAAGTTTAGTGGAGAAAATGTAAAAAATAATAATCTGGATTTACACCTGAAGAGCAAATTTTGAAGCTAACTGAGCGAGCAACATAAAACACAAAGTAGGCGGTATAAGCTAGCTTGGAGGTACAAATTAAGGATCCCATTTAGTAAAGCTAACAGCCTATTTTTATTTTATACAGCCAGCATAGAAAAATAAAATAAATGTCATTATAGAAGTAAGTTTAGAGAACGTGATGCCTGAAAAGTAGTTAACCAGTCCTCTCATTTGCTTTTATCAACATGATAAACTGATCCACGTCTGTCTCTTTTTATGTGCACACTCAGTCCTTTGATAGCCGATCATGCACAGCCTTTTTATTTACAGGAAATGCAATACAAATACACAGAGCAAAGCTTGCTTTTCATCAGATGAAAAAGCCTTAAAAATTGTCCCAACGTCTCCTTCATTTTATGCATCTGTCTGCGTCTCCGTCTGTCCTCCTGCAGATGAACCACATGTCCTCATGGGTGGAGTCGGAGGGTAAAAGCTTGGAAAAGTCACATGAAATTGGAGTTTCATGCGAGGGAGTAGATGGTATTCTTTGGTGAGTGGAGCTCCAGACTCCCGACACCAAAGTCTACATCCCTGATGTCCCTCCTGGTCCCGGTGTACTGGCCTATGAACGAGCCGTCCTCGTTAAACTGGATCTCCCCTCCTTCGCCGTAGTCCACCAGGCTGTCGTCACTGTCCGAGCGCTTCATAATGGACTCGATAGACGGCTGGCCTCTTTGCAGCCCTCTCTCCTCCTCTCTATTATCAAAAAACAGCAAACACTTGATTGTAGGGGGGTGAAAATATCAGATGTACCGATGTATTAAGGAGAAAAGATGTGGACATACCGCCGAGGGTAAGGTAGAGTGGTGACTCGTGCTATCCTGGAGTGAGAAAAGATTTGATTGGACTTTTCATTTCCTGAGTGGCTTTTTAATCAAATTTGATCATTTCTATTCTGATGAAATCTGTATCACAGTTCCAGTATCATGGTTAATATCATTGTATAGCTACAAACTTATGCGAGTTGAATAGGGCATTAAAAATGGCAGATATTGCCGTGTAGGTTTTTACAGTTCGTGTGTCAATAGTGTCAATATTTAGTGGCTTCATACCTTTCAAGAGACCTTGGTTGATTCAGTTGAAAAAGAACAGGGTTGAAGTACGGGAGGGTAAAAGTTTTAGGTAGATAAGGTAAGGTGAAAAGAAAAAAATATCAGTGAGGTCAACAAATCGAGTCATAAATACTGGATCAAGACTTGATCTGTATCTGTGCATCATGAGAGCTGAAATTTGATTAAAAATAAACTTATTTTTCTTATTTATTTGTCAATAGTCACAATATAGTATTCTGATGCACAACTACAGATCAAACAGGGCTACTATGATTATAGTCACACAAATAAAGGGATATTCCAGCGTAAAATTAAGTTAGGGTCAAATACACCATAACTCTGAGTTAGACACCCCGTCGAGAGATAAATGTTGCCGACCGCTTGCTCCTCTTGTTATACCAACTTTAGTAATGACCGCAGATAGCAATACAGAGAGCCACGCACTCAACCAAAACGCCACAAATAATGCTCAGAACAGCACCTAACTTCATCAACAGTATATACTCTTTGCCTGATTTCTTTAGTAAAGAGACTAAACACAACTCACCTACTCTCTTCCAGCAGCCGCTTGTTTGTACAGAGACCCCAGTGCGAGTCCATTACCACAGTGGGGTGACACAGCTCAAGGAAGAACATTTATGATCATTACTTCATGGAAATGCAATCAGACCGAGACGCTACGGCAGAAGAACTACCGCTTCTGCAGTGCAAAATGATTAATATGATGATTATTACTTCAAGGAAATGATAAAGAAATTATCATAAATGTTCTTCCTTGAGCTGCGTCACCCCGCAGCAGTCAATGGTCTCCGTATAAACAAGCGGCTGCTGGAAGGGAGTGAGTAAGTCGTGTTTAGTCTCTTTGCTAAAGAAATCAGGCAAAGCTAAAAAGATGTTTGGTGGCTAGTACTGTGGCTGGGACCCTATATGAACTGTACTGTTGATGAAGTTAGGTGCTGTTCTGAGCATTATTTGTGGCTATAGAGTGGCGTTTTGGGTGAGCGTGTGGCTCTCTGTATTGCTATCTGCGCTCATTACTTAAGTTGGTATAACAAGAGAAGCAAGCAGTCGGCAACATTCATCTCTGGAGGGGGTTTCTAATTCAGTGTTGCAGTGTGTTTGACCCAAACTTAATTTTTTGCTGGAATATCCCTTTAGCAGTTGAGCTGTTCTTTAATGTTACTAAAAATATCTGATTATTACTTCGACTTTATCACATCTCCAATAAATCCAAACTGGGATTTTATATTAAAAATAATGAACTGAAAAAACTGAAGTTAAGATGCAGCTGTAAACTTTACTCCCATGTATCCACCCAAATGCTCACCGATAGTCAAACGATCCCTCCTGGTCTTTGTCATCCACCGGCTCCAGAGAAATATCTTTCTTTTCTCTGACTAAAATCGAAACAAGCCTTTGTTATAAGAGATAGATGTGAGTATGTGGACTTGCTAGGATATGAGTAAACCCTGTACCTGGGTATTTCCCCCCTCGGCTCCTCTTGATGAAGCAGACTATGAGCAGGATGAGCACGATGAGAGCCACGGCACACATTATCCCGATGAACCAGCCCTGAGTGGTGATGTCCACCTGGTCTGTAGCGTACGCTGAGATTCACAAGTGCATGCACACATCTTTAGACACAAACTTATCCACCCATGTAGATATACATAAAACAACACAATACACAGAGGAAGAGACGAATTACTTTCTGTGGTGTAGTGTGGGGACTCCTCTGTGTACCATTCTCCTAGTCCCATCCGAGTCCGAGCTGCCACTGAGAATCTGTACCTGGTGTAGCGGTCGTATCGGCGGACTGAGAAGCTCGTGACATTCGGAGGAAACTCCTCGAGTCGCAGCTCCTCTCCCCTGGTGGCGTTCACTGTGGAGAGAGTGAAAATAACTGCATGAGGAGGACTCTTGAGGCTGGTCGAGTGAGCGCAGCTGAGCAGGTAAGTGCCTCACCTGCTCAGAGAGAGCCAACACGAGTGTTCATTACCCCCTCAAGAGCACATTTTCAGGGTGTTTTAGCCTTCGAGTGCGTTATTAAATCTGCTGTTATGTGCAACTGAAACCTGGACTCTAGTCTCACATAAAAACCTTTGCTAGCTTTTGCAGAATAAAGCCATAAAACATTTCTTTGGTTCCTCCTCAGAGGGCTGCAGATGACAACAAACTGCTTTGAAAGTGAAACATCTGTGAAGTGAGAAACAAGCACACCTGTCTGGTACTTGAGGGAATATCCAGTCACGACACCATTGGGTTCAGCAGGCAGCTCCCAGTCGACATAAATACTGTCCAGGTGACGTTGTTGGATTCGGAAGTTTTTAGGAACAGATGGCACTAAAGACAAACACAGCAGAACAGGAGACGGCTAACATCACTCTCCGACAGGTGCGCTCTTATTTTCAGTTGTGTAAATTTGAGATGTGTCTCACCTCCTTCAGGCGTCGAGAAGTGAATATAATTACTGGGCGGACCTTCGTATCGATTGTTTGTGACCACGATATACATCTTGTAGTTGCTGTAAGGTATAAGATCTGTGACGACACCAGACGGCTCTGGACCACCGTCTTCAAAAGTTTGGGACTTCATCCCTCGGTTGACACGGTGCCATCTCAGCTGGCTGCTGTCCCGCCAATAATACACCTGAGTGTAGACAACACACAACATTTTGAACGGCCAAGACCAGTCTATATACTGCACAGATTCTGGCTCCACTTTTATACTTTTTAAAACTTCTTCAACTTTCCTTTGGCAGCTGTTCATCTTCAGTTACTGTTAACTAATGTAAATATCGACTATAATCATCATCCAACATGAATACACACACCTTGTAGTCCTTCAGTTCTCCCATCATAGCGCCTCGTGGCACTGGGTCCCAGTGCACGGTGACCTGAGTGCTCTCGATGTCGGACAGTCTCAGGTTCAGTGGTGCCGCTACTGGACCTGAGACAACAGAGGTTATTGTTATTATCAATGAAGATAAAGAAAAGAGAGATCTGCTATGTTTGATTTATACCTCTGGGCTAAATGGCACAATGTAAATATAAAGGCACTATAAGGAGTTTTTGACTGGCGCCAGAACAAACACAAACCATACATTCTGTGTGTAAATAAAGTTGATGTAGGCACTCACGATCTTCTCCAGAGTATCCGGTGACGACAGGAGACTCTGGACCCAACCCGAAGTCATTTACAGCCTGAATTTTCAGCTCATAGGGTGTGAAGGTATCTGCATCATAGATGTAATATTTCAGCCATTTGGTGGTTGCATTCTTCCACTCCTCCCGAGAGTCTTTCCTCCTCCACCACACGAGGTACTTCAGGTGAGGTCCGTTCCACTCTCTGTAGGTCAGAGGCTGGACGCAGAACGACAGCAGTGTTTGATTTCATCGTGTTAGACACTTTAAATAATAGCAGGTTCGGTCTTTGTTACCTCCCAGCTGATCTCCATGTTATTCCTCCATGTGCCCACACCCTTTAGGTTCTTTGGGATGACATCTGGGGCTGCACAGGAACACAAATTCAGTTTTTATATCGTTAGCTTAAAGAACAGCTTTCAGAGAGACTTGGAAACTTGGAACAGTTACCCCAAGCTCAAAATCCAAGATGGCTCCTCCCTCCCATTTATAATAACTTAATCATGATGGGAACTTGATTGGTCAACTTGAGTGGGACTTCATCCCCAGCTCAGATATTTAACTTCTTTCTTTATTCGCATCAGACTCACGTGCACCGCTGCTCTGGAAGCGCTTGGATGGACGACTGGGGCGGCTCATCCCGATTTCATTGATGGCGATGACCCTGAACTCGTAGTAGGTGAAAGGGTTAAGATGCAGAACAACAGAGTTGAGGTTTCCTGGGTATGTTGACAGGTTCCTCCACTTTCCAGGCAACCAGTCATCATCATCATACTGGACTAAGTAATCTGCAAAAGGGAAATAATGAGGTTAATATCTGGTGAGCATACGAAGAACTCATTAAAACATGTCTATTCAGTTTGGTGAGTTATTTAGTCAAATGGGTTTTTACCTGTAATGGGGTTGTGGTTGCTCGCTCCAGGAACCCAGTTGAGTCTTACGCTGCGTTCATACGGATCTGACAACTCCAAGTTAGTGGGGGGCTCTGGACGGTCTGAGCACGAACAGAAATGATCAATTAAAAAGCTTTCATGCAGTACGGATGTTGAAATATTGTTGGTTTTGAACATGTCATACCCATCACCATTAGGCGTGCTGAAGCAGACTTCTGGTCCAGCTCGCTCTTGATGATACAGGTGTAGTTTCCCTCATCGCCTCTGTTTACATTTGTAATGATCAGGTTTGATTCATCCAAAGAGATCCTAGATGCAAATAAAAATAGGTAGGAATCAAGATTCTCACTCATTTGCACCATACACTGCATGAAAGAAGGAAAATCAAGATTGTCCTTTGAGATCTTCACTTTTAGAGGACGTACCTCCAACCGTATGTTACTGTCCTTTTGTCCTTCATCCAGGTGGTTGTGACAGGAGTTGTGACATCGGCTTTTACACCACATTCAAAGCGTACATCGGTCCCTCTGATGACTTTCATGCTCTGAGGTCTTGTTACAATCATTGTAGGCTCTGAAAAGTATAGAAGAAAACATGAATCACAGTATTTAGGAACGGCTCACTGAAAGTTTCGTAATTAAACACAGTCCTTTCTCACCTTTGACCTCTACTCGGACTTGACTCTCATCTCTTCCCGCCAGGTTGCTGACTATACACAAGTAAGTCCCCTGGTCCTCTATTCGTATGCGTCTTATCTCCAGGGTCCCGTTACTGTGGGTCTTGAAACGGTTTCCTTCAAGATTCCCTTGCCCATATTTGGACCTGTTTGAACGGAAAAAATTACTTTAAAAGGTGGGGTAGGCAGGATTCCGTCACGATATCGCTTTGTTCTCTTACGTCTGTGTAGTCAACATTTTATAATCTCAAAAACTGGTTGGGAGGGGTAGAGTTTACGTTCAAGATTTCTCCCAAATACTGGCACTTCCTCAGATCCTGCCCACCCCACCTTTAACTTAGTGTTCATGTAAAAGTATCAAACAGTTTTCTCTCACCATCGTAAGTCTGGCACAGGGGAGCCAAAGTAGCGGCATTCTAAGAAGGTATGGCTGTCCTCGACCACCTTGACGAGTTCATTCCTGGGCCCAAGAATACGAGGGGTCGCATCTACAGAAATATTGAAGAACAAAAGTCATATTTTACAGTCTTCTGTATATGTGCAGGCTCTGCATCTGTAAAAGTCAAAGCAGAGTGGTGACTTACGTAGGACATTGACAAAAGCATTGGCGAACAGGTAACCATATTGGTTGGAGGCGTTGCACTGGTAGACAGCATTGTTCAATGCAGTCACGCCGCGTAGAGTCAGTGTATCTCCTGATACTTGTCTGTTTGGCTGTGGTGTAGCAGCTGTAGAAAAAAATGCAAATAAAACATAAAATATCAATCAGCAGATGGTTCTGTTTTTAAGTTTTAGACTTGATCTTAAAAAACTCACTTTCGATTGGCTCCCCGTTGATGAACCAGCTGATCGTAGGGCGGGGAACCCCATCAGAACGACACACCAGGTGTCCATTTTCCTCAGGGGCCAAAACTAAATCAGAGGGCTTCTCCAACCAGAAAGGAGCCGCTGTCAAATATTAGCATGTTAGCCGCTTGTAAATGATTTCTGCAGGGGATAAAGGGTTTGAAATCGAGTGTCTCACCTTTGACCCTGACGGTTATCGTGTGCTCGATGTATCCGATTTTGTTGGTGGCAGTGCAGACATAATCACCCGTATCTTCAAAAGCTGCCTTTGGGATCTGAATCATCTTGTTGAAGTTTTTGATTTTCATGCGGGATGTGGCCACAAGTTCCTCTCCATCTTTGGTCCATGTAATTTGAGGAGTCGGCCTTGATTTAAGGATAAAATTGAGCAAAAAGAAGATTTTTAGACATTTTTCAGCAGTTACACAAAAATTATACTTCGTGCCCTTGGCTTCTTACTCACACTCCAGCAGCGATACACTCCAGCAGCAGTTCCTCTCCCTGCAGGACCAGGATGGAGCTGGATGACCCTGTAGGAGACAGCCAGGTGGGGGCAGCCTCGGCCTTAGTCCGAGCTGGTTGGGGAAACAGCAGAGCACAGTGGTCATCCATGCTTGTGTTGACTTTTTAACCCCTAAAAAGTGCAAGCTGACCGTAAAACAGGAGAGGAGAGCTGAAGCAAAACACACACTCACCACAGTTAGTACGTTTAGTTGGAGCAAATGATGGTGCAGTCTGAAATAAAACAAAATATCCACTTTAGCCAGCATGAGATCGATAGAAGTTATCGCAAAAACACTCAAAATAATTGTTGTTAGTGGCTTTGTTTGGTTAGTTTAAGTCAGGTACCTTAACTAGCTTTTTAGACTGATAGAAATCCCTCTGGCGTATGTCATCTTTTCCTCTATTTTGTCATTTTTTGACACTATTTATCCATATTTTGCTGTTTTAATTGCCAAAACATGATGTATGATGTATTACTCTTTCTCTGCTGGTGTTTCTCTAATCATACACATCTAAATCTCACACTGTCTTCACATACAGATTGGATTATTTCTCTACATTTAGTAATTATCTTTGCTTAATGAAGTTTTTAGTGCAAACATCTGCAACACGACTGCAGAAAAAGCCAAATGCACATTGGGAACCCTGCAATCATACTCACTTGTAATGACTTTTACTACCACAGGCATCTTCTGCTGGATGGCATTCTTGTAGGGTAATCGAGCGTTACAGCAGTAATCATGAGCAGAGTCGTTGTACAAGACGTTTGAGAAGTACAGGTCTCCGTTTATTCCCATGGAAACCCTGCGGTCCGGCCGCACAGGCTGCATGGTGGGGAAAGCCGTCTGAATGGGCCAGTTGAAAGGTCTTGCATAAGAGCCTGTGTTAAAACATCATTTGAAAAAGTAAATCTTGGTTAATGGCTCTTGATACAATTTTTTACGACAATGATTGAGGAACACCTACAGCTGGACATCCAGTAGGTTTCAGGTTTGGGTGGGCCAGGTGGAGGATCACATGACAAGACCAGAGGCAGGCCGATGCTAACCACGACAGGCTCCAGAATCTCCCTCGGCCACATGGGAGCTCCTGCACACACAGAAACATGATGAAGCACATGGATCCACTCAGAGACAAAAAAGGGTTTTTGGTGACAATAACTCGCTGAAACACTTAAGTTGTATGTTTTATGGGCTAGAGTCAAGGTTTTAGATAAATAAGATATACTGAATATATACTAAAGATCTTTTGTGAACTATTTTATTCCCTTTTTAACATATTCAGAAGATTTATTAAAGAAATACCACCCCAGAGTTTGTTTTGCTTTTCATGATTAAGGAATTCCTGTCCACATGCAAAGGCTAAATTAAGGTCAGAGGCGGCCCTAGGCATAAGCGAACTAAGCGCCTGTTTAGGGCCCCGCGGCCAGTAGGGGGCCCCCCCAGGAGCAATAAAAAAAAAAAAATAATAATAATAATATTTTTTATTTTTTGCATGTATAAGTGATGCCTTTTGTATGATCAAACATATATTATGGTAAAAAATAAAATAAATTAAAAACATTTTATTGCTGCTGCTGATGTAGGCCTATGATTCTTACTGCTGATATGTCAAAGCTCCGCTAGCATTATGTGCACTGAGCATCCAAATCACAGGTTCTTGTAAGGCAAAACAATGTCGCAAAAAAGGATGTATCCTTCAGGAGCAGAGAAAAGAAAGAGGAAGAGGAGAAAATACGCCAAGATAAAGGTGTTTGCATGTCATGGAATGTTAATCAAAGAGATTTGTGAAGGTGTGTGAATGATCAACAATCAATATTATTGGCAGAAATAGAGGGCCCCAAAATCAAATTTTGCTTAGGGCCCCATTGAGGCTTGGACCGGCTCTGATTAAGGTCTCTGCACATCTTGTCTGTGGTTGTGCATTTTGGATATTTTGTTTATGTAAAACTGCTCTTACTGTATAGTCTGACGATAATCCTGTGGGAGTATGCAGATCCATACTCATTGGAGGCAATGCACTGGTACTCTGCTTCATACTGTTCTGGATTGTTCCAGGCGTAGATGTCCAGCGTCCCTGAGCGCCTGCGCATCGACGCTTGAGGGTCACGTGCGATGTTGAAGTACTTCCCGTTACGCCTCCATGAGAAACTTTATGATTGAGAGGAAACAAGGAGAGAAACCAGAATGAGGTGGTTCGTAGATTATGTCAGATTGACTGTAAACCATTCAGCAGACGTCATCAGCTCTTACATGGGGTGAGGGTTTCCTTTGGCTTCACATTCAATGACCATGGTGTCTTTAGGGTCAACAATGTGCTCCTTCATGGACTGCTTTATGATGGTCGGAGGCTGTCTGACTGCAGGGACAGAAATAAATCATGTTAGTGTTTCATAGAAGTACATGATATGTCAATAAATATCTTTCACTACAGCATAGTAGTTCAAGTTAAGTGACTCACCTTCTAAAGGGACGTCTATACTCCAAACACTCTGCCATAGAAGTAGCAGCAGCGCTGGCGTGAACAGTGTCTCCATTTTTACAGCGCATGGATCTCCTTCACCAAGTCTTTATGAAAAGAAGAAAAACACAAGTTCACTCTGTTTGTGTCAGTTAGAAAACAAGAGGAATACATGTTTATGAGACTTAATTCACAGTTAGGGGAAGAGCCATTTTGATCCTTAAAGGTACAGTATGTAGATTTTAGCAGCATGTTGCAGAACAGATTTGGCAGGAACTGGATGTAATATTTGTAAGTATTTTTAAATCAGTTAATTTAACACCTGAAAATAAAAATTGTTTGATGGTTTTTTTTTTATTTAACCCCTCACCCTAACCATGATTCTACAGCAGCACAAAAAAGACAAAATAGTCACATGCTCTTTTTTAAAATGCACCTGTCCTTTTATAATAAATGCAAAAAAATCAAATTATGGATACAATAAAGGAAAGTACACTCATGAGGTTTCTTGTTGTGTTGGCCCCTAATCTGTTGTGAATTTCTAGTATAAAGACTACAATTCCCATGAGCACCATCACCGACTGTCGTAAAGATGTAACCCTTGCCAAATTGGTGTGTTAGCAAAAGAAAGTAAACTTAATCATTAGCTTAAAAAGTGATGAGACATACTGGTTTCATACTACGAATCACTGCTGATCACTGATTGTAAACTCATTTTAGAAAGTAGGTCACAAGGAAGCAGTAGTGTAAATGTGAAACTCTGTTGAAGTCATTTGAAAAAACCCTCATAGTACCTTTAATGGGAAACAAGATTTTTTAATGTTTTTATACTGATATTTAAACGGATATCAGAAACTGTGAGAGTAAGTAGTTAGGAAGTCTTGACTTAGTGCATAAAAACCTCAAAATAACAGCCAGATGCAACAAATTTTCAGCATTTAGAACATAAAAACACAAATAAGATGTCAAATATTTGAAAGGATGGTGTGTAAAACAATTAGTGTTTATAAATCTGCTATTTGTAGCTGGAAAGGTGCAGAAAAGCTTATTCAAATGACACACTCTAAATGATGGTGAAAATATTGACGTAAAAGACAAGTGCAATCAAAATGTTCATGAATACATTGCTTAGTTATATCCACCATTTCCATATCCTCCACAGATTCTTTCAAAGATGACAAAGTGAACTCCTTAAAAGTGTAATAGGACTGGTTTATGGTTGCACAAGTGTACAAGAAAGTCAGAATTTCTAAGTATTTAAATCTGTTCACCACATTGTCTCTTCAGATATGTTATAAACCACAAGTGATGTAAGTATGATCAGAACAAAAGCTTGTCAGTACTTACATCTCTCATGTCAAAGCCGAATCAGGACTCTCTCCTCCCCATCTCTGCCAATATTTCCTTTCACTAAATTATTCCTGTTTGCTCAGATTACCAAAATAATTTCTCAGTCCTTCAAATATTAGGTCAAGGACCCTCGAGGACTTCATTCACTTCAGTAATAGAGTTTCTGTCTGCCACTGCCACTTACACTCTGCCCACCCATCTTATGAATAATGAATGAGCACCAAACACCACCCACTCATCACCCACTTCAGTCCACTGTGCTGACCGGGCTCTCATAACTCTGAACAAAAACAATCCATTAAATACAATCCCGAGTTTGTCAAAGAATAAAACAGAAGTTACAATATTTTTAGCCTGAATTTGAATGTTTTAAAAACCATCAGCTGTGAATTTTAAAAGACAGAAGAGTGTTTCTTACTGCAGCCTCAGAGCAGAATAATGTTTGCTTTGACCTGCTCCAGTGTCAACAAAATCAGATTGGTGCAGTCAAAAGAAAGCACGAAACAATTTGCATTCTTGCTGGTTTTGATGACATCAAAATGTGGGCTTTATTGTTGGCCGGAGAGAGCCGGGAACAAAGTATGAAAGAAATGGTTGTTTCTCTTTGCATGAATTTAACATGTGGTAGATTCTCATGACCTGCTGACAAAGAAAGGATGAAAATAGCAAACTTTCACAGACGTCCAATTAGTATTAAACACATTTTTCTTCAGTCTTTATGAGACTGAAGATTGAACACCCTGTTTTTTTTAAAGCTCTTATCAGGATTTATTAGGTTGTATTGATTATGGCGCCATCTATGGACAAGACAGTGAATTTTTCTGTTTCGCACATGTGAAAGTAGTTTCTTTCTCAGGTCAAAGATCTCAATATCATTTCAAACATGCAACTAACTAATGAACAAATGGATGTTTGGTGATGGAAATATCTTCATCTGACACCTAACCCTCACGGCAGGGATGACAGGTATATAAAATAACCATATAGACATATTAAAACTCGTCACAGGTGGTCTTATTTGCTATTTTTATATCAAAATAAGACATCAGTATCAATATAACTTTGTGAACCCTCACAGGAGCTTTAAGTATCCCTGAATACAAATCAACATTCACATCCTGAGAGGGGGAAAAGGTCATAACTATTTGTGCTGAGATAATCTCACAGTGAGGGAACAGGGTTTTTTTTTTCCTCAGGGAAAGTGCCAAAGACACAGGAGAAGCTGTATTTGTGCAAACAAAAGGCATCTGACAGAGTCCTGACCTGTGTAGGCATTCAGGAGCCCACATAGGCTGCCTATACAAACTAGCCCTGAATGGGCCAAACAATAGCTCAGTGATGGAGGTATGTGGGTAAAACAAGGTGAACTGGTTTATTCAAATTGGATTTTTTATGAATATATCACCCTACTTTTAAGATAGGGCATCCTTACATTAGTTTTGATGAATCACAGCACCTATGACGTAGAGAGGCTCGAGCTGCTCTGCTGCTTTAACTCCTCTGGCCCTGATCCCATCTCAGTGTTCACTCCTGAAAAGACTTGACATGCCTCACATGGAGAATAAATACAGAAGGGTATGCCGAGCTTCTTGGCTGCCTGAATGGGCTTTTTCCAGCCCATACATTGAAACCGAAGCAGGCCTGGCAGAGAGCAGTGATCAGTGCCATGCACCAGATTGCACAGTGAAGAGGCAGGGAGACGGACAGAGGCCGCTCAGTGACGACAACAAGGTCTCTATGCTTGCAAGGTCTCCTTTGGCACGTGTTGGCCGGGGGCTCGGGTAAGAGCAGATGGCATGTGGGAGGGAGCGTTCGACAGCACAAGCTGCCTGTTCAGAATCAGAGCACCTGTCATTTACACTTTGGCGTCATCAGGGAGAGCACAAGAGGCGGCCGGAGAGAAAGTTAAAGACACTGAAACGTTCAGTCATCAGCTATGTGCCATAAAACGGTAACCCTTTCTTTTACGGTACACTTATTACCAGGTAATTAACAGGTAATTACCTAGTAACAACACGAAATTATCTGGTAATTACATGATAACTACCTAGTCAATACTGTCTAGCTACCAGGTAGGTAACCTTCCATCATCGTACAAATTTGAAGCCGAATTGCTCTGGTATTTCCAGGATTTTCTCCACTTCCTGGAACCACCACTTGCGCAGAAGCATTGTACGCATTCAGCGGGTGTGTCGCTGTGATAATGCTCGGCTCAAACAGCGTATCGCTACGCAATCTTCGCATGCCCATAGGCTGTATCAAGTGTCAATCATAGAAAATAAGAACCCCAAATAGCTTTTGAAAATGGAGCTGCACAGAAAAGAGAAAAAAAGAAAAACTAGACAGTATTGACTTAGTAGTTATCATGTAATTACCAGATAATTTCATGTTGTTACTAGGTAATTACTTGTTAATTACCTGGTAATAAGTGTACCGTAAAAGAAAGTGTTACCCATAAAACTGGTCTGAAAAATTCTGACTTAATAATTTACTATATTACTATATAGATATTCAACATCAGATACCAAGGTGTGTTTCCAAGAGCAAGACTCTGATTTAAATGTTGCGCTAGCTGCCAACAACTAAAAGCCATAGACTGTATATACTATGAACAAGTTGGTTCCGCCTTCCGCCAGTATACAGATTTGAAGCCGAAAAGCTCTCCGTATTTCTGAGATTTTTCTCCACTTCTTGAAACCAACATTGCACAGTAGCATTGTACACATTCCACCACTTGCGCTGTAGCATTGTGCGCATTCGGCGGGACAGTCGCTCGGCTCAAACAGCGAATCTTTGTACGCCCATAGGCTGTATTAAGTGTCAATCATAGAAAACATAAACCCCAAATAACTTTTAAAAACGGAGCTGTACAGAAAAAAGAGGACTTGAGCACAAACTACTCTTACAACAACTACATGTCAACATCACAAGCAGGGCGGAAAAAAACTATGTTTTGTGTAATAAATTTCTAAAGTTTGTCCACAGCCCCATAAGCTTTGCTGGAGGAGGCGGGATTTATGACCTATACTGCAGCCCGTCACCAGAGGGTGCTGTTCTCGGAGTGGCTTTACCCAGCGAGGAGGCAGACGGCGTCCATTCTATATACAGGCTATGCTAAAAGCTCACAACAACATTGTTACCATGTTGATGCCAAACACAGCGTAAGTAAGCACTTTAGATAAACTTGATAGCATGTAATCATTTGTTCAACTTTAAGAAATACTAATGTCATATGATATCATGATCTACAACTATATTGAGAGTTTAGCGGTTCACATAGATGATATAGCCAAGTCAAAAGTTTCCTGAAACGATATGTAAAGTCATCTCAGAGGCAGGTGTTAAAGCTGAACAATGTTGATTTCACTCTCATAAAAATCTGCTGATGCAGTTTTAGACCCATCCCACTCTCATCTCAGACAATGACATCATTCAAACTTCCATTGATAAGAGTCTTGAATGGCAGATGGAAGGACAAATGTACTTATCCACATAGTGACACACTCTTCAGTCCTCTGATTTGCGTACTAAATGTGCAAAAAGGAAACGCTAAAAAGCACAAATATGGGTCCTACCTTGAGTATTTTGCTGCTCCTTGGTTCCTTTTCCCTTGAGTCCTACTTTCTTTTCATCGTCTGCCGCTAAAAGATCCTGACATCGTACTCACAGTCAGCTCAAATTTTCCAGCAGCGTCCAGTTGTGTTGTTATTTGTCACATTTTATCCCTAAAGGAGATGTCAGTCAAGATAGCTGATGCCCATGCTGCCCACTGGGATGGTGGTCCCGCGCTTGGGTCACACGACAAACAGGCCCTGAGAGCCTGTTATAATAAATCCATTGTGAAATCCACACATACATATAACGTCATCTTCATTGTGATGGGAATAATGCAGATCTGACGTCATGAACAACTAGGCGGATGAAGTGTAGGTGTTGTCCGGCTTCTGTCTCGCAAAAATCAGCCCTATCGTGTACAAGAGATCAAAAATTTTAGTTTTTTTTTTCATGTGAGCTGTTGGTTTTTGGTGTGTTAGAGGGCGGGTGGGTTACTGACCTTGTATCTTCACTCTGGCTGGCACGAACACACGCTCTCTCACACAAAGCCTTTCTGTCTGGAACAAAGTCAGTCTATTGTGGACGGGGAAGGCACAGCTTCTCGACACATGGGGTCGATTTAACCCATCACATTCAAGTGATTGGATGATTTCTTTCTCATTGATAAAGTCTCGCTCCACTTGACAAGACCAGGTCGAAAAAACTGGGTTTCCAAAAATACCAGTTTATTGAAAACTAATAATATAACCATTATGCACAATAAAATACAACCACATGGAGGTATGATTAGAGCTTATTCTAACATCAAAAACACCAACAAAGACAATAGGTCATAGTACACAAGGTTTTCAAAATAAAGTGCTTTTTTATCAATATGTGTATTCATTTTGCACCAGTGTCTTCAAGTTTTCACAGTGCTTCATGCACAGTAAGTGAGGTATTAAATATTACATTAAATTAAATACAGGCTGAATGAATGGCGGGTCCAATTTTGAAGGTTTGTATTAAAAGGGTTCATATTTTTTCTCAATGGTGTGACTAAGGGAGCATGAGTGTCAGAAATAAGTTTTAGGGTGATGTTTAAGGGTGATATGGGATATTCAACTCAAATTTACAAATGCTATCCTTACAGAGAGGAGAGTAAGGAGGGTCAGGGATCATAGAGTCCAAATGTGTTCATCTTCTGAGGAGAAGACTGGACCCCATACATAGATCAACCAATTGGTTTACATTCCCAAAGTTAAGAGTGACCACAGAGATAAAGGGAGCCTAAAAAACCCTAGAATCCATTTGCTATCATTGGATAGTGGTATAGCCTGTGGGAGTGGGTTGCACCAGCTGTGAGTAAATTCAAACTTTGCCTAGTTTGAGCTGATTAAGGATGGGAGTTACAACTCTTCTTAATGGGTGTGAAGTTCTTCGTAAATATTAATTGTCATAGCGTATCATTTTTCCAAAGATGGAATAACTTCGAGGAGGACTTGTTATGTACAGGCAACATGTTTTCTGGCTAGATCACATCAATCAGGAATATATTATCTTTGATCTGTACACCTGCTGTTGTTGTTTTCCATGATAACAATATTAAATAAATATATCACGGCTGGTGCACCACCTTAAATTTTACACAATTATCACCTTATCTCAAAGCTTTGTTGGATTTCACACACTTATCTTCTGCTGTTAGTTGAGTAATTGTTTAGAGGCAGTCTAGCACAAAAGTTAGCATTTAGACAATCACTTCATAAGGACAAATGCTTTTCTCTGATTGGCTAACAGAAGAATATGTCATATCTGCTACACTATTTTGTTTATTATTGGATGCAACAGTCTAAGTGTAGATGGCCGTGTGTATGTTGACATCTTTGCACAGGTCTGCCTTGTAACTTAAACCCATCTCTGCTTCACCTCCCAGGCCCTCTCACTCATCCAGTCCTTCGTTCTGCTGACAGCTGACCTCTCCGCCCCAAGCACCAAACACAGCCTGGCCAGTTTGGGCCGGTTTCTCTCCAGGTAGCTCTGGGTGTCTCTCTGCAGCTGGTCCAGAGCCCTCGGCCGGCTCTCGTCCAGAGACACCACAGCGCTCAACATGGGGTTGAAGCGAAAGTACACATCCGGAGCCAGCAGGTCGTCCAAAAGGGTGTGGACTCCTTCAGTGTCAGTGGCGCTGCTGATCAGGTTGCTGATTTTGGCTCTCAGGCTGGTGGACGTCACAGGTCCTCTCTTGGCGTTGTCATAGCGACCGGTGCCGAGGGACAGCACACACTGGAAGGGCTGGTTGGGCCACAAAAGACGACTCTCATGGACGGCCAAAGCACAGGGATTGTTCAGGATAATTCCTCCATCCTACAAAAACATTGAACATCATCATTATTTCCTTTTTGAACAGCACTGTCTCCCCCTGCTGGGCTGCAAAGAAATTGCAGCTCACAGCAACAGTCAGTGGTTACTACCTGGTGAATATCACTTTGCAGGGTGAACTCCTGGAAGTATCCCGGAGCAGCTGATGATGCTCGCACTGCCTGCCACATCTGGCAGCCTGAGGCCCCTGCATAGCGACTCAGAGACCCTGGTTTGTGGTTGTAGTTGCGGAAGACGAAGGCTTTAGGACTCGTACCCCAGTTTACCACAGCGCTGACTGCTGAAACCTGAATACATATGAAAAACACAGTGAAGTCTTTTGAAAGCAGAACCCTAATTTAACCCCTAACCCACCAATAAAACAGAACTTTATAAGTGCTTTAAGATTTAGGGCCTGTGTCCACTAACAACCTTTTAAAGAGCTTATTAGACCTTTTTAGACTTATCAAGAAAGGATGCTTATCAGGATGATTTTATGAACAAATATCACGATAATAAAAGTATTCTTACCTTGGGACTCAACTCGTCTCTGGCGGTTTTGATGAGTACTCTGTGCCCCAGCTTCTCTCTAAATACAAAGAAAATAGAAAGTTGTGTAACATCAGGTTTTCATGATTGTATTATCAACACACTGAGTGGTCTTTATCATCCACTCAGCTCTTACTGTAGTATCGTCTCCCAGGTCTCTGTGTTATAATAAGAGTGACTCCAGCCCATCTTCACAGTGCCGACCAAAGGGTTCTGTCGAAAAACCTCAGAGCCAAATCTGCGATACATGTCAGCGCACTCCTCGAGGGAAAAGTGGGCCAGACCCAGCATGAAGGCCAGAACGGCACCTTTAATGAACACGTGCAGAGACACTGAATTATATATTCAGAGAGAAAAGGTGAAATTTCTTTCTTTAACACATCATGGTTATTTTAAGTAAAGTGGAGCTCCGTTGTTTCTCACCTGTGCTCACTCCGCAGATATAGTCGAACAGCTGGTGGATCTTTTTGCCTGTTTCAGCTTCAAGTAGCCTCAAGACCTGGAGAGGAACTACACCCCTGAGAAAAGCCAAGTAGAAATAAAGAGGAATAAAAATACCATGAAATAAAATTGCCTGAAACAAACGTAACACTAGGTTTTAACACAGTTAGAGAATATGTGGGTGAATGAGCAATGAATGAAAGAAACTTGATTTTCTTGCTCAATCCTTTTAGTCAACTTTAAAACAAAATTTTTATGAGTTGCCTCTTTTCATCTTGTCAAATTTAAAGGTTTGATGTTTTTTTTAATCATCACATATGGTTATAAACTAACAGTAGATAATCACACAGCATGTAACCAGCATTTTTCTATAATTACCTTGTACCACCACCATCAATCGAGAGCACTCTAATTCCTCGACCTTTGACCGAATCCAGATACCCGATGAGCGCCAGCGTTTCTCTCAAAGCGCTCTGAAGGTCCACGTTCTCTCTGTACATTCGCCGCTTTCTCAACAGTATGACAGCGCTTTTCTCCTGCGACAAGAAACCCCCTTTTAGAGACACTCTTAGTTTGCACGAGTTGATTAAATCTTCGTGGTTGTGATTGTTTTGTTCCGACTAACCTGCCACATTACAACTTTGCATGACGGGTATCGAATGAGGTGTTCATTGAGCGCCTCCACGCAGGGGATAAGAGCTTCAGGAGACGAAGCCTGAGCCAGACTGCCGAGCAACCGTCGAGTCATTTCCTGGGCCTGTCTCTGACTCAAGGAAAACTGAAAATGTACAACGAAAAACTTAATCATGAACATCATTAAATGTGAAGATAAACCTTAAAGGAGCAGAACTCACCTTTGCGTTCAGCACACTCTCTGGTGAGGTTGTGGCAGGTTTAGGTTTAGTCTGGGCCGCTGGGTTTAAATAAGAACCCAGCAGGTCAGGGATGGCACTCGAGGGATGGCGAAGGCAGTCCATAAAAGTAACCACCTTCGGGCTCTCTGGGGTCGCAGATCCATGGTCCATTTCTAATAGGAGATCTCGATCGATGTCCTCTTCCACTCCACTTTGACCCTTGAAATACTGGTTGATGTGACCCGCCATTTGGAAGAAGTTCTCCCCAAAGTTTGTGGTATCACTGCTGCTGTGGAAAAGGCCTCCACTCTCAGGTGTGTTCGGTTCTTCCTGTTTGACTTGTGGTGTAGCTTTGTGTGTTTCTGAGCCAAGTTGTGTTGAAAGTTGTTCTGTGTAAGTGCGAGTCCTTTCCACTCTCTTGATCGGCTCATCAGTGACCTTGGCACTGAAGTATTTATTGATATGTCCTGCAAAGTGACGGTAGCTTTCCTCCCAGCTGCTCGGGGTCTTTTTCGGTTCCACTACTGACCTATCAGCGTCCAATTTTTGAGCGATCTCAGCTTCTGTAGAGTTTGTGACACCAGTGTTCGATACCTTTCTCCTCTTCAACCTTCTGTTTGTCCCTCTGGTGGAAGGCGTTGTGTCCAAAGTATCTTGCATTTCAACTTTTGTGGAACCACGAGAGAAGGCTGAGTTAATGTGGTTTGCGACGTAGCTGTAGCTTTCACCGAAAGTTGTCGCCAAAGAGCTGATGTGAAAAAGTTGAAGTCGAGAATAGCTCTGCGATGGAGGACTTGCTCCTGAGCCCTCATGCTTTTCTTTGCACTCCAGATTTTGCGTCGTCTCTTTGCCCTCCGATTTTTGGTGCTCTCTGTTTGCCCAGTGGCTTTGACTACGCCTCTGTGACCTGCTTGTATAAGCTGGAGTTGAAACAACAAGAGTGGCGTTTTCAGCCAATGGTAGAGCTTCCTTGCTTTTGAAATAATAATTGATGTGGCTGGACAACCGGTTAAAGGATTGACCAAGACGTCCTCCCAGTGAACTCAAATTGAAGCTGTTTTGAGGTTCCTCAAAGATCCCGATTGGAGCTTCAGCTTTGAATGAATTCTTATTGGAGGATGAGTAAAAACGCACAACCTGGAGATGCTTCACACCTTTGTTAAAATTGCTGAGGAAGAGGTAAGATGCAGAGCCTGTATCGCTTCTAATAAAACCATTGAATGCTGCTTTTCTTGTGGATCTGCAAGTACGATGAGGAAACATTTGCGAATATCTGTGGAGATCCAAACAGAGCGGCGCTCTGGCCAGGCGAGGGTACTTTCTGAGAAGGCTCATCAGGTACCTAATTTTGCAGAACGACCTCAAAGTCTTGTTCACAGAGCTTGAACACGGGTTGGTGTTGAGGTAGCGACCCATGTTTGACCTTATGTGGAGAGCAGCAATCAGTTAGTGTCCAAATATTACTCTTTTGCTTCCATGAAATGAGGCTGAGGGGACATGTTCGACAGGAATCTGGGAAAACAGAAAATAACAGATTAGAAAATAAAAAAGGAGGAAAAACAACATGAGTAGGTAATGAGTTTGATTTATCTTAATTATAAAGAAACCACATTTAGGTCAAAACAAGGCAGGAAGATACTTCGTTGTCCATACAGATCCAATGTTAGTAAAATGCATAATTGTCCTGCCTGGTTGAACGCTAAGAACAGATTTACTGCCTCATTAAAATACTATCTATGACGAAATTACCAAGGGTTCTTCACGATCATTTGTCTTTCAGTTCGGATAAACACTGGTGCAAAACAAGACATGCTACGGAGGGTAAATTCACCTTACCCAAAGTTAAAACCAACAAGATGAAAACTACAGTAATGTACAGGGCCATGGTGACATGGAATGCTCTGCCAGGACATATTATCCAAGAACACAACAAATACAGATTTTAAGATCTAGTGAAAGAACATTTATTAGTCAAACAGCTCCGAATTTAGATGAAGCTACTTTGTAGAATCAATCAGTGTTTGTCTGACTTAGTTGAAATATCTTCTTGAAAATCTGCTTAAGTATTGGGTATTGTTTCAGTTAATAATTCAATTATGTCGAATGTATGTACATATTTGAACATACTTCAGAACTATGACTACACCATGAAAATGAATAAAGTCCAGTCATATGTGTACGTTGTTTATATTGTTCTAGTTGTTTTTGTTGTTTTGTTTTGGTCTTGTAGGCTGCTGTGAGTTGTTGATGATGTTTTTTGTGTCTTTGCACTGCAATGGTGAGCTAATTGTTAATGTAGACTCCAGGAAGTTAAAGCTAATGGAGATCTAAATAAATGAAATGAAATTGAAAGTGTATTGGATTCATCATCTAGAGGCAATGAATCTCCTAAAGAAATTATCAACTTTCCAGCACCACAACTAAAACACATTTACAAAAACACAAATTATATGTTCATTTCATACAAAAACAGCAAAACAAAATGAAATATATAAAACTAATGTGTCTAAGAGTCAAGTCAGGGGAGTTATTATCTCTGTGAAGCAAAGATCCATATTGTCACCTCTATAAACAGGTATCTAATAATGAAGAGTTCACGGTGAGCTATTTTTTTAACACCCTTCATAAATATTGTTTCAGTAACATGTAATGTGAAACCTCAAAGCTAATGCGTCAGTTCGAATAACCTGTTAATAACTCTGTACGTTCTGGGAACAGACAGGTATGTCCGCAATGTGACTGAGGTATTTAAGAGCGCTGTCAAGTTTGTCCTTACTTGCTCTTATATCCTCAGCAAAGACAAAACGACTGTGTGGAGATGTAAAATATAAGCTCTTCATAAACACTTCAAATCAAGAGGAAAGCAGCAACAAACCTGGGTATGCAACACTCAAAGCTGTTTTCCACTTGAGTTGAGGAAGGTCATGAACCAAAGAAGCTTAGAGTTGCTCTAACCTTGACAGAAAACTTCTACTCAAAACATTCACTCAAGATTTACCTGTTACACACACCAAGTTCCTCCGTCTTTAAAATCTCCTCCTGTGAAATTTCTCTTCTTTAAAATCCAGAAAGCTCTTAAAGCATCTGTCAGAGGTGTTATTTCTCCTGTGTTTTGATACTGATCTCAGCCCTTCTTTCCTGTTGTGCTATAATCTCATTGGTTGAACTGGGCAGGGAGGTGGTCAGGCAGGGCCAATGCTTTGAAAGACCACACAGGCTTTAAGTCATGTGATACTACTACTGAGTGGCAGAATGGAAGTCCAGGTTTAAAATCGGGGGAGGGGGTGATAAGTTAAGGGTCTGAGTGAGCTGAGGATAGCTGCCTCTTACGTCATGGCACGACATAAACACACACTCACACATCCCTTCAAACCAGAAGGAGCTGTCTAACTGGTCACCAGCTTTGTGATTCTTGGAAGCTGAGCACAGTTTCTGCAAGGTACATGTGATCACAACACAGGAATGCAGTGATACATAGGCATGTACACAATAACAGAACATGGGAATGCTTTGAATTATAACCCACTAATTAAACACGTGAAAACCAAAATAAAACTGAGAATTTGTTGAACAGCCTGATCCTACATAAGAAAGTCCAAACCCAAACATACTGTACCTTTTGGCAGGTATCTATCTTCTTCACTCTGGGATGTTGAAGGTCTGTATAGTCTTGATGACTCCCCACATTTGTGTCTGAAGTTTCCACAGACCAAAGTGTTATTGGAGACAGGCTTCAATCATGTTTAATTTTTGCTCTAAATCTGGCTTTTTGGAAATAGCCTCAAGTGGCCACTCCAGGAGAATGTTAAAGGGATATTCCAGCATAAAATTAATTTAGGGTCAAATACACTGTAACACCAAGTTGGACACCCCCTCGAGATTAATGTAGCCGACTGCTTGCTTCTTTAGTTATACTAACTTTAGTAACGACCACACGATAGCAATACACAGCAGTCTGAGGAGCCATAAACAAACCTCAACCAAAACTCCACTCTATAGTCACAAATAATGCTCAGAACAGCACCTAACTTCATCAACAGTACATATAGGGTCCTAGCCATAGCACTTAGCTTTGCCGGATTTCTTTAGCAAGGAGACTAAACACAAGTCCTTTATGGACTACAGTGGGGTGACACAGCTAAAGGAAGAACATTTATGATTATTACTTTATCATTTCCTTGAAGTAATGATCATAGATGTTCTTCCGTGAGCTGAGTCACCCCGCTGTATTCCGTAATAGACTGGCCTGAGGTCTCGCTACAAATAAGTGGCTGCTGGAAGAGAGTAGGTAGGTTGTGTTTAGTCTCCTTGCTAAAGAAATGAGTCAAAGTTAAAAAGATGTTTGGTGGCTAGTACTATGGCTGGGACCTTTTATGTACTGTTGATGAAGTTAGGTGCTGTTCTGAGCATTATTTGTGGTTATAGAGTGGCGTTTTGGTTGAGGTTTGTTTACAGCTCCTCAGACCGCTGTGTATTGCTATCGTGCGGTCGTTACTAAAGTTTGCATAACTAGAGAAGCAAGCGGTCGGCAACATTCATCTTGAGGGGGTGTCTAAATCGGTGTTCCAGTGTATTTGACCCTAAATTAATTTTATGCCAGGATATCCCTTCAAGTGTCACATATTGGGTTATTTTGGAATGAGGGTTCTTTGTGGTGTGTCTCTACACTTAATGCTTATCTTTTTCATTACAGCCCAAAAAGCTTGTGATTAATTAGAGTTCAGAATATCTTTACAAGTTATTACTTCTTCCAAACACTTGCTACACGCTTAGTATCTGATTGTAACTCTGTGTGAAAGAGAGGAACCCGTTATTTTCAGACTGAAATCTTATCATTTGATTGTGAATAGAAGAAGCAGAATATTACATCAGGTGTGTGGCTCTATCTAAAATGCCTCTGGGGTTGTTTTGTAAATATCACAGTTTTTAAGCCCTACAGTAATACCTTCAGCAAGCATAAGGTGTTCAGCAGTGTTGGTTCAACACACTCATAATATTCAAGCTTTTTGTTGGATTTAAAACCCCCCAAGAGTCTGGATCTGTCTCTCCCTAACAAAGACTTCATGAAAGTAGCTGAAATAAAAAAGTGTCGCCTTTCCTGTCAGGAAAACCAGGCTTGTAATTTCCACCCTGTTAGCTTTCCAAAGAAGAACTATGAAGACATGTCGCCTTTAAATAAAGCAGGCCAATCATTTTCTCATCAGACTTCAAGAGTGGCAAATAAAATAGCTCTGGGGGAACAGTCCCACCTTCACAGTCTGTATTATTTATGACTCAGAATGACATCTCCTGGCAGCTTTCTGACATTTCTTTTTCTCCATCTACTTTTGAATGGACTTCAATCGAACGTACCGTGTGTGACAGAGAACTGCTTCATGCCCTTTTGGTGGTTTTCTCTGTACAAACAACTTGTCAGATCATTACGGCTTCAAAGAGAGCACACCAATACTCCCTGACCTTTGCAGTAAAGCACTTTTCTTATTGTTAGGTCTTTTTTTAAACTCTATTACTGGCTTATCTTGTCTTACGTCATCTAAATAGGGTCACTTTAAGAAGAAAATGTAGATCAAATCACACAAACTGATTGTTTGCAATTAAAACCATAATCAAAAAATACCATAATTTTGTGATGAGTACAAATGAGCTGTAACTAGCCAACGCTTTTTTAGTTATTTATTTGGATATTAATGCGACAGCCAGTTTCAAGCATTCATTTCTAACTGAGAAATCCTGATTTTGCTTTATATTGTGGTGGATTAACAATCAGCCAACTTATCTAACTCTTCAGTCTTGGAGCTTTTCCATATGGATTCATAACAAACCGCTGAAACAACACGACAAACCATTATGTTGTTCTCCTATGTGATAAAGTGACTTATTAAACATCCTCTGCCGTCACTGTGTTTTCTTTTCACAGCGTCCTGTTGTGCACTCGTCCCCACGTCCAGTCCACTTTAAGCGATTCCTGGCAAAGATAGCGTACGATTCGTCCATAAACGGTCTCACGGGAGGCCACATCATGAAGCGGCCCAACCAGCCGAGCCCCACTGCGCCGTACATGACTGCAAAAGCCGGGACCCCGCGGTGTACCTGCCAAAATACATGCACAGTTAGCTGTAGCCTGTAGACAGCTTGACTTTAAGTATATTACAGTCCAAGCTGAGTGATTTAAGTATAATTTACCTCCTGCTTCTCGTCAATCACATGCATTTCCTCCATGGCCATCTCATAGCTGACACCCTTGTAGTTCTCTCCATCATAGCCCGGCAGGGAGATGTCGATAAAATCAACTTTCCCTGGCTTGCCTCTCTGCAGAAACTGGAGGAACCTGATCTCTGTCACACAAATGGGACATAGCCCATCATACAGCACCTGAAACAGAGCACACACCCACTCACTCATTTAGGTGCACGGGAGTAAGCTGACTGATGGCAGAGATTAAGGAGTGAAAAAAACCCTCTGAACTAATATTGACAAGGAGACCACAACCATTCGCTGCACAAGGGACTATCTGTTTCAGTTCTTCTTCAAAATGGAAAACCACGTTCGTTTCTGAGCAGCGCCACAATGCCAGGGACATGACAATACTACACGCAACACGTAAACGAATGAAAAAGTAAGTAAACTATAACTCTTGCTCTCTAAAATCCTGTAACTTCAGGAAAAAGTTGTAATCTCTGAGTGGTGTGTCTCAATCCACAAAGAAACAAAATTTAAAAAGAAATATTACTTCACACATGCCTACTTTTCAAACTTTCTATCAAGTATAAGTCATACATTTAGTCGACTAATATAACTTTGACTAAGCGAATACTTTTTAACAGCTTATATTTTTCAGCATCAAGTTATATGAACAGTTTTAAGCATTTCTCAAATTTTTGTATCATTATCTTTACAGCTTTTACGTTTGAGTTAAATTTAGAGAAACCGGGGGAACTTGTTCAACCACCGGGATTCAGGTTATTTTTAAGCAAGTGTTCAATTACCACTTGGCTCACAGCTAACTAGCTATCTGCGAGGATTATCAATGCGTGACGTTTACACAAGTCAACAGGCAAGTCAGTGATTCAATAGAGACAGCATCCTGGAAGCAGAGCCGGCCCAGCAGAGCTTAGGGCCTGGCGGCCAATAGGGAGCCACCAAGAGAAATAAAAAAAAAAAAATTTAAATCAAATATTTTTTGCATGTATGAGTGATGCTTTCTGTATGATTAAATATAGAATATTGTAAAAATAAGATAAAATAAAGTAAAAACATTTTAGTGCTGCTGCTGATGTAAGGTCCTTCACACTGTTTTTGTCATGCGATTATTTCGGACGTCAATAATTTTTTCAAACCCGTATCCTGTCAATACAAGCATTCACATTAGTGATGTTTTCCCGTCCTGCGATATTGCTGCATTTATTTTTTCAGATCTTGGTCGATTTTTCTAAAGTTTTGCATACTATGTATCCACTTATGACCAATCAGATTGTGTGTTGTTGTGATGTCAGATTCACCGGTATATCCAACATGGCCGACCAGCTAATTGTTTATGTGTCGGAGAACAGAGTGCTTTTTGATAAAAGACACAAACATTACAAAGATAACGACCTGAAGGACAACATGTGGACAGTCATAGCGTCGGATTTCTCATATGTCGATGGTTTGTGTGCTTTAACAGTTTGAAATGTCTTTGTTTTAACTTTCATCTGTGCTAACGTAAGCTAATGGTTGTTACCATAGTTTCATGTGCTTATCTTATCGCCTCTGATTGGCTATAAGTGCTTGGCTAAGAGATTTGTGATGTGTGAATGGCCCCAAAATCAAATTTTGCTCAGGGCCCCATTGAGGTTTGGGCCGGCTCTGCCTTGAAGCAAAAACAAAAAGGCACTGTCCCTTTAAATATCTGTTTCACATGACAGCGATGGAGTGGTAGCTCTTCATCAAGTAAAATCTTTGACAGGTCGTAAACAAATCCACAATATGAACACATTATATTGTACAATTAAAAGATAAGGATATGCTTACCTTGACACCTGCAGATTCAGAGCTGAAGGTCCGATGCTGATGTCTGCAGAGAGCTGGTGTCACTTTTATTGCCCTTGAATAAGTACAACTGGGCAATTTCGTCAAACCTGAGAACAAACGTGCTCTCGCTGCGGGAAACATTTGCTTTTGCGTTCGAGTCGACCCCAAAAAACTTTTAAATTCTTCAAAACTCAACCAGAAGGTTGTACAACCGTGAATCCAGCTGAGTTCTTGCCCTCTGCGGTGTCTGATATGAGTGTTCAAGCTCACTTAGCCAGTCAAAACCTCGTGTTACGCAAACCGTTGAGTAACACAGAGATATATGAAGGTCACAGATCGATGGTGTTCAAGATAAAAGATTTATAGACGTATTCTATGTCATACTGCGCTTTTCTTCAAGTTAGAACCGCAAACTTTAAGTCTTTAAGTTAAACCTGTGTAAAAGCAGTGCTGACAATTTCATAACAGTAGCTTACCGGGGGATGTGACGGAAGGGGGCGTGGTCGGTGCATGATGTCGGTGTGCTGCAGTAAGAGGTCTCACTCCGTTACTTTTTTCTGAGCCAAATGAGATCAACGCTGACGTTCCCTCCAGGTTTTGAAGAGACTGTGCTTCTCTTCTGTACGGTGGCCGAGAACAGCCACTGCTGCAAAAAAAAAAAAAGAATGCAAAAAAAAGAAGCCTATGAAAAATAATAAATGGTGCAGATTTTTTTTTTGCATCCCACTTTTTTTCTTTTGCATCATTAACTTCTGTTGTAACTTTTAAAAAAATCTTCACCATTTCTTTTTAAAATTTGCAGCAGGCTTGGGTTTTTTTCTTTCATTGGTAATTTCTGTTATGGTTTCTTTCCTTTTTTTCATTCTTTTTTATTCGCAGCAGTGGCGGTTCTCGGCCTCCGTACTTCAGCAATGCTGAACCGGCACAAGCATGTGGACATTTTACAATTTTGTAACATGGACTCTCTAAACTAATGTGTCAAATGACCAAAAAAGTCTTTGATTGTAACAGTTTTCAAGTGATTATCTACTTTTCGACTAGGAAATGAGTTTACCTGGAACATTAGGGTGATGTGAAATCTTTTGAAGTACCTTGATTTGTTAGGTTTTCTGTTTTGTTTTAATTCAATGTATACATATTTTATGATATAAATTCATTTAAACAACTGTACTATGTCCACAGAGGCATATTGCATTAACTTAGGGGCAAAAAAAGTCTTAGTTTATCCTAAATAATGAGCTACTTTTAAAAGACTTTATTCACCCAATTAAATTCCACCTCACTGTCTCACTCTATGAGTGGAGGTTCAGAGTCTCAATGTGTGAGAGGGCTTGTTCCAGAAAAAGTCACGGCTGGGTTATTTCATCCATTATGTTGTTTTGACGTGGTATTAGTGTTTTTGTTCTTTTTATTTTGCAATCCTGTTGGATTATTTATCCAGACTGGTTATTTTTATCCAATCCAGACACAACAAGCTTAAGTGTGTCATTAAAAGTGTCCCAGGTAGAAAGTTTAGTTGTACAAAATGTTTCATGTTCACATTGATGGAAGACATCTGCAAATTATTAACACACACGTACAAGCACATATGAGTTAACATGCTTTAAAATGAAAATCCTCAAAGTAATGAGTTAGTATCTTCTCACAAAGAAATGCAGAGTACAAAGAGGTTCATCTTGACCTCAAAACTTTTAAACAGATTCAAAACAAATGGATGTACTTTAACTTGTCGGACATTGGTACCGTCTGCTCATGTTGTTTTTCTTAAGTTTGGTCATTCATTGTTACAGGCTACATATTAATCGCAGGCCGTAGCTTTGTTTGTGTGTGGTCACTTGTATTTATCGAGCGAGCACACGTGATGAGATCAAAGGCCTTACAGCAGGGTCTTTCTGAGGGAGAGAGCCTCAGCCTGGTACAACAACAGGGTGCATAGACTGCCCAAAACCTTTCCAAAGATCGTGTAGAGGTGAGTTCTTATTATATGCTGATTGTGAAAATGTGCTCATGTTTGATCCTCATGTTCACTTCTTGTACCTGTTTCCACTCTCCAGCTGGTGCATAGAACATGCCCCCCGCAGCAGCAAGCAATCTAGGCTACACCCCACCAGATGGAGGCTGGGGCTGGGCTGTCGTCTTCGGAGCTTTCATCTCCATAGGATTCTCCTACGCTTTTCCCAAGTCACTCACCATCTACTTTAAGGAGATTCAGGAGTATTTTGATGTTTCCTACAGCGAGATTGCCTGGGTCTCCTCTGTCATGCTTGCATCTATGTATGCAGGAGGTAAGTGTTTTAAAGTTTTGAACCGTTCTCTCTTTACTGGAGAGAACATTTTCTGCTCTTTTTGAAACAAATATATATATATACAGGTTAGTTAAGATACCAAATTAAGATGTTTCTCCTCTTTGTACAGGACCTGTGAGCAGTATTCTTGTGAACCGCTATGGCAGCAGACCTGTGGTTATGGTTGGTGGAGTCATGGTCTGCACTGCCATGGTGCTCGCTTCTTTTGGCACAACCATCATCCATCTGTATCTCTGCATCGGAGTGATTGGAGGTAAACATCTACGCCTCTAAACCTTATTTTCAATATTTCTATTTTTGCGAGTAGGGGGGGTGTTTGCTTTGAAATGCTTGATTGTGACTGGCTGACACAGGAGGATGCTTCTTGTGTTGTAACTCCCATTCAGGAGGATGTTTTCCCATTATCAGGAGTAGTCCACGAGTCCTCTGTGCCCCTGTTTGGGGGTTAATCGGGGTCAGGGTTGCGCAGTGATTAAACATGTGCTCAAACCACTACGAAAAATCCAACTGGTTCCAAGTACAGCCATCAAAGCCATACTCAGGCTCGAGTGGGCCTACTTTTTTTTGGAAATTTCTGACTAAATCAGATGATTTTTGAAAATCCCCTCTTGCATGGATGTATGCCAGACCACATGACCATGCTTCAAACTGTGAGCAAACAAACCTCTCAGACTTTAAACTTTAAGCAGGGATGCTCCACCTACTGGGGTTTTAGCTCGGACCTCGATTACTATGCAAATAATAGAAAATTTCAGAATCTATAATTTGGGCTGAAGCCACAATTTGTATTTAGTCTGTGTGAAAAACCTGAATTTGAAACGTTGCTGTAAAAATGTATTGTGCAGCAAGTCACATTTATGATAATCAGGTTATTTACCCAACAATTTAACAATTTAATCATAATTTGCTGAACTGATCCTGTTGTTTTGTATGATTTTCTTTCACTTTCAGTTTAAATTAGATGAGCATCAGACCAAATCTTACAGCGAATCACAGGCACACCTTCCGTAATGCACCCTAACAGCATTAGACTGAATGTTTTATACCCTTAAGTGACACAGAGTCGGCAAATCTACATAACTGAAATATTCAGTCCTCTTAAGAGCTAAATGAGCCTCATTCACTGACTGTTCTTCAGATGAAATTTGTCCTTGAAACACACTTACGGTTTTAAAGATGATTCTGAGATACACCAGAGTTTACATATATGGGATTTATTTTAGCTAAGAACAACATCTAAAAGCACACTTGTATATGTTTGAGAGATGAAATGTCAGTGGAAAGTTACTGCATTTGTGTTTCCTTTCATTTAGCACCTTTATACTAAGAGACTGAGACTTTATCTTCAAATTTTACCTTTAAATTTGTATTAACTGTAGGAAAAAAAGTCCCAGTATGATGTGGAAAACTGGTGTGTGCTTCAAACTAACAAGGACACGACATTCATCAAATCAAGAACATGAGTGGGCGATTCAGCAGTTTCAGAGCAGGTCCAAGAATCTGCTTTAAGCTTCTCCTATAAACCTTGAAACTTCTATAGCTCCCCCTGTGGACAAAGAAGTCTTCACTTATCTTGTCCTCTATGCCAGTGGTTCTCAACTGGTGGGTCCCGACCCAAAAGTGGGTCGCGGATACGTTCTGGATGGGTCATCTGATGTTTTACATGTCTTTTATTTTGGAAGATAGCTTATTTTGAAAGGCATGTGTTATGTCATGATACTCCTCGGTTTCTTATTAATGTGGCCTGAATGCAGTAAAAATACATGTTTATTTTTTGGTCTTTATTTTGAGCAATTTGATATTTATTCACTTTTGTCCATGCTGTTGCACAGTCCTCCTCAGGTTATGCTCTGAATGCAGAGATGCACATAAGTCAGTTTTTTTTTATCTTGCTGGTCTCCATTTTGTGCAATTTGATATTTGATATTTTCTGTATATGCAACTTTAGTTGTCGTCCTCAGTTCATGTGCTCTGAAATGCACTTTACTCAATAAAATAGGTGTATTTATGTTAAAGATTTGAGTCTTTAAAGTGGGTCGTGACTTAAGGAACAATGGAAAAATGTGGGTCCCAGAGTAAGACCAGTTGAGAACCACTGCTCTATGCTCATGTAGTGTCTTCTGACAGGAATTTTTAATCCTGGTGAGTTTTGACGGTTAAATCATAATTTATTGTGAATATTTCATGTGAAAATGTAAAAAAACAACTCCAGCTTCCGTGAAAGTAAGAGTGTAATGTTTGAGAGAGAGTCAAGTTTATGATATGCAGAGGAAATATCAACGATACAACAACTTCTGATTGATCTAGATCTGTTCTTTATGTTGTGTTTATACCGTGTGTCTTTATTTCAACAGGTTTTGGCCTTGCTTTTAACCTGCAGCCTGCTCTGACAATCATCGGTACTTACTTCCACGTCAAAAGGCCAATGGCGAACGGTCTGGCCATGACAGGAAGTCCCGTCGTTCTCTCCACTCTGGCTCCTCTCAATCAGTTTCTGTTTGATTCTTTTGGCTGGAGAGGGAGCTTCCTCATCCTGGGATCTATCGTCTTGAACTGCTGTGTGGCCGGTTCTTTGATGCGGCCGGTAAACAAAAATGCTTCCCCCGAGCCAAAAGCCGAGGCATCGGAGTGTAACGGGGCCGCCGTTGAGGAAACTGCTGGTACACCGTCTGCTAACCTCCTGACAGAAGAAAATCAAAGTGGGAGCAAGAGTCCAGGCTGCATGGACAAATTCATCGATTTCTCTCTTTTCAAACACCGGGGATTTCTCATTTACCTTGTTGGCAACGTGGTCATGTTTTTTGGCTTTTTCGCGCCTGTGGTTTTCTTGGCGCCGTACGCCAAACACCTAGGGATTGATGAATATTCAGCAGCTTTCTTGCTGTCTATTTTTGCTCTGGTGGACATGTTTATCAGACCTGCAACTGGCCTCATAGGAAACACCAAGTTGATCAGGCCAAGGATTCAGTACTTCTTCAGCTTTGCGGTTTCCTACAATGGCTTGTGCCACCTTTTGTGTCCACTGGCAGATGGATACGTGGGTCTGGTGGTCTACGCCGTCTTCCTTGGGTTGGCGTTTGGAATGGTTTCTGCACTGCTTTTTGAGGTTTTGATGGATCTTGTTGGAGCTCATCGATTCTCCAGTGCTGTTGGACTCGTCACGATTATTGAGTGTGGACCGGTGCTTCTTGGACCGCCTCTTTCAGGTCTGTGAATCTTCAAGGTGATGAGAATTTCAGTTTCATACCATAAGCACAAACAAAACACTAACTAAATATGTGTTTTCTTTTGTTTCAGGAGCTCTGGTTGATATTTTCGGGGACTACAAATACTTGTACTACGCATGCGGTGTGTTCATGTTGGTGCCTGGCATATTCTTCTTCATCATGCATTACTTCAACTACAAGAGACTGGACGAGGAGCAGAGGCAGGCTGAAGCCGTGGATATGAGGACTTCATATCATTCATGTGAAGAAGCGGTTGAACTCAAAACGGGCCGGGATGATAAAACAGTGCCTGAAACAGAGGGATGAACTTGCTGAGGAAATCTGTTTCAGTGGATGTAGAAAGATGACTCCACAGAGGCCTGATAACAGGGCGTACAGTGTATGGGTTATTATAGACGGCAATAATTTTCAACCTTGGACGAGGTTGTTGGACTTTTTGGACATTTGCTACATATCTTCAGACCACCATTTGGTGTTTTATTGGTTGTTTTATGTGCGGTATTATGACTACATTATGTGGCAAATGTAAGCTCTTAAGGCCTTTCTTCATGAATCATACACTAATGCCCCCAATACAATTATCATAATGGCTCTATAAGCATTTACGATTCCTCTTTGTTTCTTCAGCGGCTGAATAAATAGTAATTTTCCTGAGGGACTGATAGAAAATAATGAGTCAAGACCCTCTCATTGCCATGCCTCAATGTCTCAGTTTCAGACTTGTACCACTAGATGGCACTAGACACTATCATGTGGCAGCTGCAGGTGCTGCACATCTCTCCTGTTACACTGCAATATAACAAAAAAAGATAAAAAATCATCATCAGAGTTTTGGTTCATTACAGTAAAGCTTTCAAAGTCTGGGGCGTGACCCTCCCACAGGCCGTCAGATCCTATGACCGGGCTGCCGAAGGCGCAGCAATTAAAAAATGAGAAATACGATGAGTGTTGTAATGACCACACACTATTCTCTTTCCTCATGCTGCTCAAAAACATACAGTTAGTCTCAATTTGAGAACTAAATCTTTTTTATTCTAGAAAGTTTAGTCTGATGTGCCATTCCTTTAACCGGGGAGCTGCAGTCTGCACAGGTTATTTCACCAGGAAATCACTAGAGGACAATTATAAAAATGCTGTGAAGTTATGTACATCTTTTTTCTTTTTTTTGCGTTTTACTTTCCCAGTACAAACTCTCTGCACATTCAGACTGAGACCACATTTGCATTCAAAGGCAGAGAGTTAAAATGTTTGACGTAGCCTTCGAAAAGCACCATGCATGTGACACATCTACCACATTTGGCAAATATTTAACCAATTCATACAGTTTCCCATGGTCTTAATTGTATCTTGACTGGGACTTATTTGTATTCTGAGCATTGTGAGGAACATTATAAAAGAAGTTCAAAGATTCTGACTCATCTCCCTTCAGAGAAAATACCGACTGCAGATAAAATCTGTCATTTTATACCAGGTCGCATTCATCCCACCACAGGTCAAACTTTATATTCTGAACTTTATATTCTTACACACCGCATGATTACACCCCTTTAGTGTCTGGCCTTGAGCACCTGCAATACAAGATACATGGAGGGGCAGTGCAGGAAAAGAACAATGCCATTATTAGAGAAATCTGCTTAAAGGATCCATTTTTATCGTGTCCCTGCAAGGGGCTTATTGACTTCCTTCTGTAGATAGACCGAAATTGCTTAAGTGAAAAAAATCAATATGTTTATTTATAAGCTTAGATAACAGTATCTGAATATGAGATAAATGGTGTGAGCCTGTGGCTTATGGGAATGTGCTCTCTTTGTTTGGATCCTGCTTTAATACCAATCAACTTAAAATCTCCACGCCAGTGCAATTCTGGATTAATGATTGCCAATGGGTGGTTTTCCCGTGTTAGTGTTATCTTTTTATATCACTGTAAGTAGGGCTGTGCACATAGAGACCAGTAAACGACTAAAAATCATCAATCTTACTCGTCTGCACTCGAATTATGAGACAATTAAATGAATATCTTATTGCTATAGACACAAAATACTAGCCTGGCTGGGCCATCCAGTTGCGTGAATCACTTGCCGTTCCTTCCTACAACAGTCTGGACTTCGGCCAATTGGGAGACCTAAAAGCGGGCGGGAGTACTTTCCTTGATAGGCAGACTACTGTAACCAATCACAGTAGCCAAACATCTGATGTCATCACAGTGCGCAACTGTGTTTCCTGCTGGGCTCTCAAGCATCAAGTAAAGGTTTGGTCATATTTCAACATGTGCGAGCAGACAATGTCTTTTACTTTTACGGCGCTTTGAAAAGTCCCGCAGCATGTGTTAGATGTCACTATCTACACATGGACCAATCAGGGGCTGCCTTTCCCTGTTGTCCGGGGAACAGTGGAAACACAGTCACCGATTGGCCCGGTTATTTTCTGATTTCTAATACACGCTCCCAATTCACCGAAGTGCAGACTGTTGTGGGAAGGAACGGCAAGTGATTCACGCAACTGGATGGCCCAGCCAGGCTAACAAAATACTGGTGAAATAAGTCTTAGATGTAGCGCAGCCATGGCAACCACCACTTTTGACACTACTGCCATATTGCTTTAAGGCTCTACTACCTGGATGTAAATAAGCACAGATGAAAGATGGCAACTGGTCGTGCATTGCGCATCTTGTTTTCGCCTCCGATTTTGCTTTTTTCCGACTTGGTAACTGAAACACTGGTAACTCAGCTGTGACATCATTCCGAGCTCCTACATCTGACTTTCGAGGTAATTTGAACGCAGCATAAGTCCACTCAACTGGACGAAAGCATGACCACATGAGCCAAACTCTGCAACCAGTTTATAAATTTTACACCTGGATACTGTGATCTGATGTTTGACTGTGCGAAATAAACTCTCGAGTTTGATTGTCCTCAGAGTGGTTAGAATTTAAATTTCCTTTTTAACCGACTAAGAGATGTTTTGCTTTTTGACTCCACGACTCTTGAGCTAATTGTCTGAACTGGGTTTATTAGGCACAACAAAGTAACCCATTAATAAAGAGCTGTTACAAATTTATGCCTGATTCAACCAAATGTTATGCAAATGTAAGGAGAAATACACACGAAACTAAATATGACACTTCTAGAATATTGTTAGAGCATAATTCTCTTGCATAATAAGTTGCAATGGATTTCACTGCTGCTTTGACAGCAACTAATTATCACTTTTGTTATAAAGTAATTAGCTCAGTTTTTGCAAGATCTTAGTAAATGCCCCAAACAGTAACCGTAAGCCATCATAAAATGTAAAGTTATCAAGTCTGAACAACAGGAATCTAGCTGCTGTGATTTATGATGAGGTGCAGGTGAGAGGTGTGAATGATATCACTTTAACATGAACATGATAGAAATTAAACAATCAAATCTTTGTCATGTTTGCTGGAAAGATTGTTCCCAAAAATATGTCACTCAGTGGGAGCATCTGCTGTGGAAACTGTAGAGATAGGGCTGTTTCTTCGGGTTTTGACACCTACCCCCTCTGCCATGATTAAAAGCATTAAACAGGTCAGGTACAGTACAGAAATAGTCAGTTTTGTTGTTGATTGTATTGTTTGCTGTTTTGAATCATAAAGAGACACAACTGTTAATAATCAATCAAGGAGTCCTCACAGGAGCTTTAAAGGGGCCATGGCATGAAAAACCGACTTTGTTAACGGGAGGGGGTGCATATCGGGGATAGAAAACCGCTACAATCCCCCAAGTTCGAAAAAATTCTATCCAGTCGTTTTTTAGTTATCTCCATATTTAGGAACTATGTGCTCAGAGCCGGTGTTGTACCGTAGAATGCACCCCTGCCGTAGAATGCACCCCCTGACGGGAGCGCGGTTGAAAGTACTTAAGTTTTCCTTACCATTGGATGAATTAATAAACGTCTGCCTTTAATAATTTCATTCAGGCTATTCAGATAAGTCGAAAAAATAGTCCTCTGATTAAGAATATTTGCTGTCCCGAAAATATAATGTTCGCTAGCTTGACAGCTTACTGTACAATTTATATACCCAAGCACACCTCCGTATGTGCATTTTTGAGACACATAAAAACAGAACAAAAGTTGTCACGATCAAATACTCGTAGTTTTTAAAATATGAGATCATTTTCTTCCACTTTAAGAAGCTAAGTGGATGGAATGCAGGGGGTGCATTCTACGGCAAGGGTGCATTCTACGGCACAACACTGGCCGTTCTGAAAACTCCACTGACATGATGTCATGTCAGTGCTCGCGGGTTGATGGTACTGCCCATGGAGACGCCCACTGCCCTGCCCAAAAAAATTATCAAAACAGCGCCATTACTTCCGGCCGCTCGCTCACATAGCTCCGGTTAAAACCATGGCGGAAGTACGATCTGAAAAAGAGGCAACGTTTGCTCTGTTGTTGGCTGCACAAACGAGCACAAAACTCTTTTGAAAACTCCATCGTCGGAGGATTTGAGGACTCAATGGGTGGATTTTATTTATAATGGGAATGTACCCGCGGCACTTCCAAAATATCTGCATGTATGTGTGTACCATTTCACTTCGGACTGTTTTACCAACGAGGGACAGTTCAACGCTGGATTTGCTAGATGTCTGAAGATAAAGAATGGATCCGCACCAACTATCCGTGATCCTACTACAAACGTGGCATTTGTAAGTGTGAACGTTTTATTTTGACTTACTGTTTAGCCTAAATTCCCCCTGGTGCCTCAACACGGCCATCACGCTTTGGTAAACACACCGGATCCGCGCCGGTTTACCGGATCCTCCCGTATTTTAGCCGCTCGCTTCTTCCCCGACAACTCCGCCGGCGGGGGACAAAATCCCCTTCCGGAGCAGCATGTAGCTTTAGCATTTACCCGTGCGGCGACGCGCCTCTTTTGGCTCAAATACGGGACGTCCCGGCTAAGCGTGACTCTCCTGGCGGCTTTGAATAATACATAGGATGTGTCGACTAGGTCGCTTCAAGTCGCGTTTGGTCTGAACGCGGCTAAGAGTTCTTCCGGAGCCTCCCCCTCTGGGTCAAACTCTGGCTCAAACTGGTAGGGTTGTACGAGCGATCTTCTTGCAGCCATGACCGAGCCAGTGTAAACATTAGCACATGGCTATCGGAGCACAGCCACAGCCCCTTCTAGAGAGATGGGTGTAAAGTGGACGTGGCTTAGGTTCAGCTCATTTCATTTAAGAGACATGGTCCAAAAGGGAGGATTTTGAGCGGAGCTGTTTTTAGCACTAAAAGAGAGCACTAAAATAATTGATCCAAATCGAATTTTGACCGAATGACATCACAGGCATGCTTTTAACACACCAGGGGACTATTTGAAGTTGTGTGAAATTGGCATGCCATGGGACCTTTAATTAAAATCAACTAATGGTGTTTAGTTCAATTTCTTTGGATGAACAATTTCTTTTAAATTTTTACACAAATTCAGGGGAAACTTTTACCTAGACCCTAAATGAATAACTGTTACTATTTCCAAATATTCAAGGTACACCAATTATCAGCCTTAGCCGATTACTGGGACTGATATTCAGCAGTTGGCTGATTATGTATATCAGCATTTTCTAAACAGAGAGTTGATAAAATCAATCAAGTCCTTCAGGTTATGTTTCCTTGCACCACTTTGTATCACCTTAACACTATCAGATCAGTTAGATGTAACTGTACAGCAAGTGTAACTGATTAACTGTTATCCCTGTATGTCATGCTGAAAGTTGCAGTCTTATTAAAAACACGTTAAAGGCTCTTAAGTAAGGCTTTGTGTTGGAGTTTGTAATATCCTAAATTCTAATTTTTTTTGTTTGTTTTCTGTTAATAATCAGTGTTGGTATCGGCCCTCTAGTACCAATGTAGGTAGGGTGATCATATGTCCTTTTTTACCCGGACATGTCCTCTTTTTGGGGGGTTGTCCTGGCTGTCTGGTGAAGTTTTTAAAATCCTATAAAATGCTGGCGGTTTTGTACGTACGTTTCAATTTTGTGTCACATGGACTTACTGAGTTAGAAGCATGTAAAAGACACTCGATCCGACCTGAAAAACTCTCGAAATTAACTTTGTGCGCTCCCATGACTCCGCCCCTGCATAGTCGTGTTCTCTTTTTGGGAAGTCAGAATATGGTCACCCTAAATATAGGTCGGCCCAAATTAAATATTACGAAGAGAGAAACAACCAAAAACTAGAGAGTTTGAAACCAGACTGAGTAGAAGTATCAGCCACGTCATTTTAAAGGTTTAGAGGAAATACTTTTTTTTTCAATAAAAATGTCAGTACAGTATCAAAGTGCAGACATAGAGCATCCCACGGTTGTCACCTTTTGTAATTGACATGTTTCCTGGTTAATGAGAAGGCTCAAAGTAAAAAACCTCCAATTAATAGCAGCTCCCATAAACTCTGTGTCAGCTCCACCATGAACAGCTTGTGCATAATCACTGTGATGAACTGTGACTGATGTCACTAAATCTGGCTTTAATTGGGACCAGGAAGATTGGATCCATGCAGTTATGCGTCCAATCCTCGTAACAACTGCTGCCCTGCTGAGGCACGGTGCGAAACCACCCTGCTGGTTCAACCCTGGAGATGTGTTTTAACCACGAGCCTGGGATGTCTGTGAAGAAGGGAGTGATACTGTCTATTTAATCCTACATGTTTGTTAATAATCTCTGCTAATCTTCTTTACCCACAGCAGCAGAACTAATCTGTCTTCACAATGTTTACACTCGGAGGGAGGGCAACGTCATGCAAATAGTGGGGACTTAAGAGTTTATTTATCAGCCCTGTGGACAGAGCGACTAATGACACACCGCTGGTCTAAAATAAACACGGATCGGTGGAGTCGCTAACATGGATATACAGGGCAACCTGACATGTTCCAGCAGACTGAGGAGCGATTGCAGTTTCAGTCTCCACAAGGAGCTCTCAAGGACTCAATCACACCTCCCAGAGAGGAGAGATACCATGTCCTGTAGTGTGTCTTAACTGACTGCTGAAACACAAGATTTAGTGAGATAATTTGGGGGAAAAACGAAAAACAGAGTACCCAGCTCCAGGAATCGATAATCTGCTACAGAGAGCTGCTACAACAGTAATTGCGGGTCACCCTGATATTTATGTAGAGTACAATCATCGGCTTTTCACCAGATATTTGTGAGAATGAGAATTTAGGATCTGAATTTGTTGAATTGAAAACAGAGGAAGTCTAGATCCTGAATCAGATGAGAGAAATCTGTCCTACAAATTTCTCCGATTGCTGAAAGTACACATTAGTATTCATCTTGGAGGATAGTGATCTGAGAATTATAGTGATGTAAACTAACTAAAACATTTACTCATGCAGTACTTGATTTTATTTACTTATGAAATACTTCTGTGTCAAAACTTGCAGTGACTCAACACTTTTACTCCCTTTTATTGCAGATGCGCTCTGCACTTTAAATCTTGCTCTTCATCTAGCATCTTCACCTAAAAATTAAATCATAAGCTCACAAAATACTATGCATTATTAAAGATAAAGCCAGGGCTGAGTCTTATGAATATTTATATGTGTTGAATATTCATGAATATTCAACATTTAGTCTTCAAAATGTCAAAAATCTGTTAGAAATTTCCATGTGTCATATCCAATCATGGTGGATTTATCATGTCTTGTTTGGCCCGACAAACAGCCAAAGACCAGAGAAATTCAGTTCACAGTGATTATAAAAGAGTAAAGCCTTTTTTAGGACATGTTTAAGGACTTTGTACATCTCCCCCCTCTGTGAGTTATTAACCAACAAAGCGTTTCGGTCCATAATTAAACTATCTGATAAAATATTCCATTATTACTGAGCTGCAGGCTCCACCTTGATCAACTGCTGCATTAAATTACATCTTAACGTATCAATCACGATCTAATGGTTAATTCATATTGATAAAATAATCTAAAACTGTCATTCTTTGCTTCTAATTCATTTAAACCAAAGTATTTCACTATTAATTCACCAGGATATGTCTCTAATCATCACTGATTTAACAATTTATCACAATACACGACTGTTTACATGAAATAGATGTAGTGGGTGTGTCAAGACGCAGGGTTGAACAATGGAAAAAGGACCCAAAAATGCAGACTGAAAAAAGGATTAAAGACTAAACTTGAAACAACAAAAACCAAAGAAACAAAAAGGCACTGGGAAAAACCAAAAACACTGGAAACAAAAGACACTGGGGAAAAAAAAAATCAGGAGGAGACGAGGGATTCACTCATAGATGAACATACACACAATGAAACAATCAAGAAAACAGGGGAAGACAGGGACTATATATACACACAGGGAAACGAGCAACGAGAGGCAGGTGAGACACTGAGACACAGGTGCAGACAATTACAGAGGAGGGAAAACTGAGGAAGTAAAACAAAACTAGAAGCACAAGGAATAAACTACTACAAAATAAAACAGGAAACACTAAAAACTGATCTAAAGAATAAAACACTGAGAACATGAGGGAAATGGGGTTGAACACAAACTGAAAACTCACAAGGAAAAAGACAAAAAATGCACAAAACCAGGAAAAAACAAAAGTAACAGAACATACCATGACGGGTTGAGAGGCCATACACAGACAAAAGCTTTGTTATGAGTTC